ATTTCCCACTCTCTCCTGCAGCTTAATAGGGCTGCAGCAGTAGCAGCTGCAGCCTCTATCACCTCCGGCTCATCCCACTCTCCCTCCTCTTCTACCTCCACCTCTTCTCTGGCTACCTCCCTCCTCAACAATCCTTCCTTGTCATCATCTTCCACCATCACAGGGTTATTCAAGGGTGCTAAGCAGCAGCACTTTGATGAGAACACTCCCCCTCATGCCCCAATGCTGTCCCCTGCTGCCTACTCCCAGCTAGCCCACCTGCCTAAGCTCCTTTTCCCATCTGTCTCCACTTCTTCCTCTACCCCTGCTGCACACTCATCCCTCTACAACCATCCAGCCTTGGGCTTGCTACGCACCCCACTACCCTCTACTCCAGGCTCCCACCAACTTGCTTCTTCAAGCCATTCTCAGCTTTCTTTCCCTTTCGCTTCATTTCCTAAAGTCCCAGGTCCATCCACCACCACTCCATCCACCCTACCTTCCTCCATGGTTAACTCCACTCTTACATCTGAAACCTCCAAGCTGCAGAGGCTGGTGGAGAAGCTAGAGAAAGCGCCCCGCTCTTCTTCTCCGTGGACTGCTTCCTCTATTTCGTCCTCCATGCTGGAGATGTTAACTAGCGGTGCCACTTCCTCTTCAAGTTCAGCCAACAGTCGTTTCACAAATGCCAGCACTTCAACTACATATGTAATGGCCTCCCCGCCATCTTCGACTCGTGCTTCCACTTCGGTTTCAAACTTCACACATGAGATGGTTGCTGCCCTAGGCATGAGTGCCAATGGAGCGAGTGCCATTGCGGGGGGCTTCCTACCATCACTAAGCATTACAAATCCAGCTGGTAACATGACAACCAATCAGTGTGGGGTGTGTCTACGGGTGCTGAGTTGTCCCAGAGCACTGCGTCTGCACCAGGCTACGCACCTTGGAGAACGCCCTTTTCCATGTAAGATATGTGGTAGATCCTTTTCTACTAAAGGCAGCCTGCGGTCACATCTGGCCACCCATCATGCCCGGCCACCCAATGCTCGTGTCCAAAATTCTTGCCCACTGTGTCAGCGCAAGTTCACTAATGCCCTAGTGCTTCAGCACCACATCCGTATGCACCTTGGTGGACAGTTGCCCACAGATGGCACAGACGATTCTGCACATGAGATGCCAGCTGAATCAAATTCTAAACCCTTGTTACAATCTCAATCCCAGTCCACTGACCCAAATACTGTCTCTAGTAAAACACCACCTCTAGCAGGCCACTCCAAGAGCCCAGCCCCAAGCTCAGAATTTCAAACTCCAGCAGTAGGTTCAGTCCCTGCATTTGGGAGTACAAAATCAGTTGAGTTTACCAAAAATCCTAGCAAGTCTGGGTCCTCCAGCCCAGACCTCATCCCCCCGTCTGACCTTAGCCCTGACCCATTCATGAATCCCACAACAAAGACTCCACCACCAGGCAGTGTAGAACCCCCTCTCCTTTGTGTCAGTGCCCCCTTGCCAGCCTCCAAGCAGACAGATCAAGCTTCCCCAGTTGGCAAAGATAACCAAGTTGAACAACAAGCTACTGCTGATGTCCATCTTCCTAAATCCACCGCCTCTCCAATCGCCTCCACTGTTACCAAAACCACAGTGTCAGCTAATGCTATGGTAGTGGACTGTGGAGAGGATGAAGCTTCTACCTCCTCCGAAGCCTTCCAAGGCTCCAGAACAAACCTGGAGGACTTACAAAGCACACCTGTCCTTGCTGACCCCTTTGCTTACACCTGTCCCAGTACCTCCTCTGATCTCATCCTGAGTCAAGATGTTCCTAACGTTATTGCAACACCAACCTTGGAATCAGAGTCAGTCTCCCCAAGGCCCAAATCACCAGAACCCATGGAAGAAGACAAAGATCAGTCTTCTCCACCAGCAACACCAAAGCAAGACCAAGCAACTGTGCCTGACGAGGACCCCAGCGTGACGTCCGCTTTGGAGACTGCTGAAACTGTTGCTGCTGAGGTAATGGGTGTATCACAGAGACCTGCCACTTTTGTAAGGGAGACACGTCAGAGCTTTCATTTTGGTTCTTATGGGAGGGAAGACCGGGTAGAAGATGTTGAGATTAGTGGATTGGCTCCAACTGAAACACTGGATGGTTCTGTCCCCATCAACCTGACCCCAACCCTCCCATCTCCGATGTCTCGCCCTGAGAAGAAGACCTATAGCTGTGCTGAGTGTGGAAAAGAGTATGCCAGTCGCAGTGGACTGAAGGTGAAGAAAATTAATTGTATGATATAAAAAAATTAAAAAAAAACTTTAACAAGATATATGGATATGTTGGAAGATTACTTGTTGTATTAAATTGTTTATTTTCAGGAGATTGAAACAATATTTTACAGCCTTAGTACAGAACTAAAGCTGTAAAATAAAAACAATCTTTGTGTTAAGAGTTGCTAAAAATGTGCTTTATCTTCCTAGGGGCACATGAAGCACCATGGTGTGGTAACCAAAACAATACGTCCACCAGCCCGAAGTAGTCGTTCCTCCGCTGACCAACTTCCTTCTTCTACATCTATGACTTCCTTAAATATTCCCGCCACCAGGAGCTCAGCAGGCTTCTGGAACCAGTACCAAGCCTTCCTCAACACCAGTAACGAGCCAACTGATGACCCAACTGCTGGCGGCCAAGGAGATGATGAGATAGACCCAAGAGCCACTGAGGAAGCTGGGGAAGGGTCTAGTGAAGGGTCATAAGTCGAGTCAGCGTGATTCGCTGGATAATGTTCTGGTGTTTTCAATCAATGTTTACCTTTTGGTGAAACTGTATGAACATTTGCGTAGTACCTGCTTCCTTAACACATTTCAAGTAGCCCGTCAGTTCGATAGTCAGAGTAATGTTTGTACGTCAAAGTTGTGAGTCAATCAGCTTGGTCTTGTGGTGTTAAAAAAAAAAAAAAAAAAAAAGACAGCTAATGTACAAATGAAGATGAAAATATTCGAGAAGTAACAGAGTCCAGTTTCTGCTAGATTTGATAAAAAGTGACACTACCTTTTGTCTGGCTGAAGTTGTTAATAGTTTGATTCGCGTTCTAACAAAGTATCCCTGATGTATCAATGTTTCATATCAGACCTGAGTCAAATAGAGTTTTTTGTTTTATTTTTTGGATATTTGACATTAGCTAGTTAGTGATTCACAAGATAGTGCACTAAAAGAAAAGTTTCAAATAAGTAAATGTCAGTATGTAAACATTTCGGTACTTGTCGTGTTGTGCCATGTACCAAATCTGATCCAACTGGCACCAAAGGAGGCTCAAGCTAACCAAAATGTTATTTCTTTGCGAATGCTTCCCGACTTACGTCTGTTTCGTATCTAAAAGATGTTTTCCTTCAGTCACAGAAGGAACTGATAAAAAGTTTTGCTTTGCGTGAGCACACAGGGCCAACAAACTGAATGTGTTTTTGTGGGGAATATTACGTTTTTAGTCCCGTTTTGTGGTTCAGATAAACTACTCGCTCATGTCATTGTGATTTACTTTTCACTACATTGTCCTGTCAAACCAGAAGCACAGCTGCAGTGTTTGTGAACCCAGTGAGGACATGGTCTTGTGTGTGACCTTAAGCTTTGTGAATATTATGATTGTTGTTTGGTCCAAAAGTAATATCTGTAACGCTTTTCAGTTACTAAAACTTTTAAGTTGCTATAAATATATCAGAAGTCTGTCTGTTTGTTGTAAGCTGTACGTTCAGTGCTCCATATTAAAAAGGAATTTTGAAAAAACATATCTGGCTCCTTTTTTGTGCTACTTTTACACAAAATGTATTGTAACTGGTGTACAGACTTATTTTCATAAAACACAGCATGAACACATGCTTGGAGACATTTGTGTGTCCAGTTTATAATGTCAACAATCCCTAACAGTCACACGTCATTGATCATTGCTCTCTGCCAAGACAATCAAAGCTCCCCTCTCTTGTGTCACATCAACGGAGGGGAGTGGAGGAGGCCAGCTGTCTTTCCTCAGCTAAGGCCAACACAGCAGCTGAGCTACAGTATGTGTGCACATAAGGTTGGTAACAGGAAATGCGTGTGTCTCAAGTCTTAAACGTTTTACTCTGTGTTAATGTATTTACACATTTGTCAGCAGCCATCCTGTCATGTGAAATCTATAGTTGCCATTAGCTCGAGTGCTATCACATGCTTGTCAATGAACACAGCCTGCAGTTATAATCCGGAACCAAACCAACACTGTCTTTACAGAGGTTAGACATCAAATATGTCCTCCTTAATGAAAGCAGAGGAGCATGCAGGACAAAATAATCCATGGTCAGTGTGATGCATGGATGTATAGTAGGAGGCTATATACCTAATCTGACATTGTGAAGTGTTTAAATGTGTGTGCAATGTCAGCATTAGAGGGCGCAATTCCCCATTTTAAACACAATTTGGTGCTGTATATTGAGTTTGTTTGGGGGCCTTTTTGAACAGCACTCAATAAAAATCAGTGTGAGACAAGTATCAATGTGTGAAGTGTAAAATGTACATTAAGATAAAGAACTACCTGTAATTAACTGATGAGTCCCCTGCGTCTAAAACCTAAACAGTACAACAGAAATAATAGTTTAACAATTATTGGTTATTGCCGTGGGCATTAAAATAAGGGTATGGGTAAAAACTGTTTTTAAGGTGAAATAATGTCGTGGATTGATTGATGTGTATAGTAATATTTCTGTTCATGGCACTCTGAAAAATTACCGCAGCTTTAAAATGAGTTCACTGTGTTGCAAATAGTTTGAACTGTGCAATTTGTTGTCGAATTTGTCGTTTGGCTCAATGTTTGCGCTCTCGTCTCTGCTAATAATAACAACAGCTATGCATTTTATGGAGCATTAAGGCATTTAATCACAGCCTAAGAGTAAAAGCAAACCGTGCCAAGTCTAATGTGAAGGTCACTCAGTTGATTCCAGCCCTCCATGTCAGAGGGGCGGGCTGATTTAGGAGGGGGAGGTTTACAACCCTCTACTTTCCAGCTAAAGGTCTCCAGGGAGTATCAAACTACCACGTCTGCAGCAGGGAGAGAGGGGAAGAGGAGAGGGGATCAAAATAAACCGACTGGAGGATCGAGAAGAGAGGACAGCGAGGAGTCAGGACTGCTTCATGAAAACAAAGTCGGCTGTAACATCTGGAGGAAAGCGCAAACTGAATTTGGACATAGAATACGCACCGCCTGTAGCCAGAGCCCCTCACAGACTTCCTGCTCCCAGTATAGTGTTGTAATAGTGTTGGTTAAAATTCACCAAAACGCGAGCAGAATGCACACTGGACAAATACTCCTCGTAGTTTAGGTAACTCAAGTAAATAAGTTGCAGAGGCGCATATCTTCTGGAAACTCGTTTTGTGCTTTGCGCCAAGTCGATCTCGGGTGCGACGTTTTCGTTTATTGGATACGTCTTTTCACAGACAATGTTTTGACAAATAGCAAAGTGAAGATTGCGCGAACTGTTACAGGAAGATCTGTCTATTTTGTATTGTTTTTTGGAGAGACAAGTGATGGCACCAGAGCTCAAATCGCTTGTCCGACTGCTGCTGCTGGCAGTGGTGTGGGAGCTGAGCGCACATGGAGCGACGGAGCGACAAGTCAATCCAGAGGTGAGGAATAAGCCAAATAGAGGAGATAATAAAGTCAGAATAGAGGAATAAAGCCAAATAAATAGATGAAAAATCAAGCAACAGAGTTAGATAAATACATCCAGAATCAAGGAATAAAGCCAGATAAATAAATCAAGAATTAAGGAATTAAAATAGGTAAATACATCCAGAATCATACTTAAGGAATATATTATGGAAGATAAATACATTTATAATAAAGCCAAATCAACCCAGGATCAAGGAATTAAGCCTGATAAATAACCCAGGATTAAGGAATAAAACAGGATAAATAAATCCAGCATTATGGAATTAAGCTTGATAAATAAATCCAGAGTCAAAATCAAGGAATAAAGCCAGATAAATGAATCTAAAATAAAGCCAGATAATTTGATGCAGAATCAATGAATAAACCCATGATAAATAAATCTAGAGAGGAATGCAGAAGAACAAATGCAGTATAGAGGAATAAGCCAGATAAATATATCCAAAATAGATCATTAAAACTCAATACATATATCTAGAGTTGAGGGAGGATAAACAAAGCTTGAATGAGGAAATGCATTTAGGGTTCAGAAAGGTTTAAATTCTGCGTGACTGAGAAATATGCTGTACCCTCATTTGTAGGAATGAAGGATCTTTTCTGCTAATGTCAATAATTTACTGATGTGACAACACCAACTTTGATTTCACAGGCCTGCATATAATACTATACTGGTTTTGTTTGTGACTACCACAATAGCTTCCTCATGGACGGTCATTCTAACAATTGCCTGTAGTTGGCGCAGGGATATGGGAATGGCTTTGACCCTGCGAGGAAGCAGCCCATAATGATAATAGCGCTCATGAAAACACTGAGAAATGCTGAGAGGGCAGAAGTGGTAGTAGTGCAGGAGAAAAAGCAAATGAGGAGAAATGCATGAGCTTGTATTGTGGTCGGGGCAGAGACAGAGGCAATTATTTTGGGAATGGAGGGGAGGGATTGATAGTTGTGGGTGCAGTTATATTCAGAGGGATGGGGAGATGTAATTGTTGACATCTGTCCTAAGTTATGGCTCAATGGATTCGAAGGAGGTGGGTTATACAATCTGAGAGGTTCTTCAGCATCTCAGACATGGTCAGTTGTGGAAAAACACCCACAGTTTGAACTCTAGTTCTGATCATTAAAGGGAAGAGTTTCCTGTTCTTCTCTGCTCTGTTCTTTTTACTCTGATCTGATCTGTTCTGTCTGCAGTATCAGCAGTCCTCCAATCCCACAGCCAGTGTAGCATCAGGAAGTTCTGTATTTATCTAGCAGGAAGTGAGTTGTTATGATACCCCTACACACCTGCTTCCCTCAGTATCATAGTGAACACTGTGCGTGTGTGTTTGTGTGTTACATGTGTAAGATCTTACACAAACGTCTCTCTAGTCATTGTATCCTGCCTATGGAGTTATAATTCCAGCTGAGATAATGGAAGAAAACGCCATTGACCTACATAAGACACAATCCGTGGTTTAAATGTAACTAGAGGAGCTGGCCCAGGCTGTTAAAGGATTGTTCCCATCAGTAAAAATGTGTGAGCAATATAGATCTATATTTCCCAAATAAGATCAATTAAGAAATACACAATATACTCTTTCTTTATAAGTCAAATGACTTATGTGTGAGTCATTTGTAAAGTGTTCAGATGAGCATATATATAGCCAGTGGCTAACCCGGTAGCTTTACTGGGGATGCAAATTTCAAGGAATTTCCTCAATCAATTATTAGATGGTGTTAGAATGGATAGTCGGTAATTGTTAAATCTCTCTCCTGATGCTATGCTACAAATGGCCAAATAAGGTTGAAAATGTTTATTGTATCAAGTAACGCTAAACGACTTCTAGGCTTCAATGTCGGACATAATAGATGCTAGGCAGATCTAGCACTTAGAACAATGTCTAAGCCATGTTTCTCGTATTCAACAAAAAGAGCTGCAGGAAATAAAAGAAGGTATAGTCACACATGTTCTGTTTTTTTTTTTTTGCCTGTAATTTATCCTGGAGAAAGACAGCAAGGGTGTGATAGTTATCAACCATGAATTGAATGCACAGTATTGAAACATGGAGATGAGTGACAAGTTATTTGCTACTTTGGAAATAGGTTTAGTCATATATAGAGTTCTTTGATTTTGAGTTGACCTTTTTGTATCTACACAATCAAAAAGAACGGCAACGTCAACATTTAACAACCAGTAACCCAACGAACATGTCTAATGTCCGCATAAGAGAAAATTGAACTTTTAGCTACATCCCAAGGAAACATAAGTGATTTTTGTGGTAGTAGCAAGTAGAAAGGCTATCAGGTTTCTGTGGAAAATTGCACCAAAGTGCAGGGGCCGGCTTGGCCTGAAGTGCCCTGGAAAGTGTGTTCGTTCAATAAGTTTATGTTAATTTAGTGATTCACCGCCTATGTTTTTATGATGTAAAAACACTGCTTCCTGTGTCTATATTTACTTAATTCCAACATCGGATGTTTGTCATCACGTACGTTGCCTCCACAAACCAATTGAGTAGGTTGTGTTTTAATTCACCATAAGTCTAATAAAGTGAGTGGCTGAGTCTTGTTCCGTCGGTCTGAGTGGGGAGATAGACAGTCAGGGGTTGTGAGGATGCAGAGGTCATTTCCTGTGGTCTGTGGTAGAGACAGGAAGTGGGCAGTGGGTTTATCATTCGCCGCTAAAAAACACCTTGGTGCGTTAGCAAACAAGTATGTGTGAGACTCACTGGCACGCACACACACACACACACGCACACATACCTAATCTCATATGTGCATAGATCTCTTCTTATGCACATTCACAAAGGAATGGCTACATGCTGAGGTCATTCACTGCAGAAGAAGATAAATGTGCATGACATGGGATGATGAAAGCAGAGCCGGGAAGACAGTGAGGAGGCTGTTGATGACTAGAAAGGAGGGCATTGTGGCGATGGGAGTGATTCAATCTGGGAAAAGGACAGTTGGAAAATGGAGCAATTATCCAGTTGATTCGGACAGGATGTAGATCATAGCAGTCATGCACACACATCCTGTATGTCTCTTCCCTTGTGCTGCTAATGACAATAAGCAGGGACTTGAGAGAATTCAAATTGGTTAAACTGGTAACTTTGAACCAGTCTCATCTTGATGTCTTACTAGTCTTTCAGCGGATGAAAGGAAGGAAGGAAGGGTGCATAGGTTTTAGACAAAGCCACATCCTTAAGATCCCCAGTGGGTGGCCTGAGGGCAGCCTCCCTGAGGAAAGATAGGAGGTGTGACAGGAAATAAGGTAATACGCAAAGTCATTACCTCATTTCCTGTTCATAAAGGAAGCAAGCAATGAGCTAAATTTCAGGGAAGCTTTTTCCCACCTTCGAGATTTGCTTGAGGTTGTCTTATTGCTCAAATGACATTGGCAGAGATGAGTTTTTCCACTCCTGTGTCACCGGGTCTTATTGTTGTTGGCTGGACAATGGTTGTTTTAATAGATTTACACATACACACACACACACACACACACACACACACACACACATTTAAAGACCTTTTTACATGTGTGTTGAGGAGCTCTTGGCCAGAGCGGTCAGCAACATCGCACATGTTATCCTAAAGGAACAGCATTAGCCTCGGGCAAATGTTCAGACTGCATGAAGCATTTTAAAAAGTCTGATTTTAACCCACATACCTACACACAAACTCCCTCACACACACAAACACACACGCAATCACAAGGCAATAACGAGCTGTTGCAGGTGTAGTGGGGGCACACATCTGACATAATACTGCAGCTCTCTGGACAGACTGGATGTGGCATGAGGACCTGTGTGTGTGTGTGCTGTATACAGCATGCCTCAGTTGGACTCCCATCGCTGTTGACCAAAGTTTCTTTCCATTAGCCCTCACCAAACGGAACAACTGACTCTTTCTTTTCTGAAATGCAATCCCTCCGTCTCCCTCTTGTCATCCTATGCAAAACGAGCACTCTGCCTCCTGACATCCATAGCAACCGTTGTTTGATTCTTGTGGATCTTCCATTAAACAATAAACTCACATCGCTGCAGATGAGCGAGCTGCGCCCTTTACCTCAAAATCCTGGATTTGGCTTCCTAGAAGTACCTTTGCTCTGTGCTTGTCTATGTATGAGCGTTGTTAAAAATCAAAGGATCGAGAGTGACTTTAACACGGCAGTGTGTTTGTGCAGCAGTTTCTACATCAGTGATTCTCAGCCGGGGGTGCAGTAGGTTACCTCAGGGTGTATGTGGAAAGATTGTGGAGGAGCTCAACTTCTTAGAAAACAAATGTAACTTGTGATTTGAATAAAATAACTCATATTGTCATATTAAGTCAGCTGTAATACGCGAACACCAGGTTTTGAGAGTGCTGGAAAACTATTTAGCTAGCAAGCAGAGATGTTTCAACAGTTAGCTAAAAGTGATGAATAAACAGTTAAAATAATTAGCACAAAGTAATGTATGAATGGTGAAATAGTTAGCTTAAAGTAATGGATAAATAGTTAAATAGTTAGCTTAAAGTAATGGATGAACAGATAAAATATTTAGCTTAAAGTACTGGATAATTTGTTGAAATAGGTAATAAAACTAATGAACATACAGTTAAAATAGTTTGCTTTAAGTAATGGTTGAAATTATTAGCTAAAAGTTATATATAAATAATGGAAATTATGGGTTGTCAATGAAGGGGTATATGAGTTAATTGGACAAGGCTGTGAGCATACGGGTGGTTCAGAACCACTGCTCTACGTCAAAAGACTGTTAGCTTGGGCTGTCATCTCCTACACCACTGTAAATAATGATCATTCCCTCTTCCTGCTACTGCTGTAGTTACTCAGCCCATTAGTCTGGTCAAAAATAGCAGAGTGCAACAGTGAATAAGACTTTGTCGAGTCACCTTAGGGACCCGAGAAAGAGGTGTGGGAGCCTTAAAGGTAAAACAAGTGTTCAGTGTCACTCAACAGCAGTCTTTTGACTGAGCTTTTAATGAAAGTTAGGATTTTGTCGAAAAGAAAACATTGAATGACTGAAAGAGAAGAATATGGTTTTACAGTGAAATACATTCTGAGATGCTAAAGTTTGTGTTTGATTTTCCCGCTTATGTGGATGTGCTGGAACAGTGGAAAACAGTGAGTCTTTATGTGTCCACTGGAGCTCCATGGCTGAGTCAGAACCAGAAAGGGATCATTCAGGGTTGACGTCTAAACACTGAGACCTCCATGTCTTTCAAGGACAGACAGAGAGGGAGAGATTAGACCATCAAGGGCCTCCAAAATGCCATTCTGACATTCACTGCTGCCCAAACTCACACAAGTATAGCCATGTGTAAATATAAGAGCACATATTCAGTTAATCTGACAGCACTACATTATCAGTGGGAAAAATGCTGAAACAAGACATTTAAACATGTTTTGCCTTCATTGTATCTTGCATCTATTAGCAGCAGATGAGCTGTAGTCCTTTTCAAATTTGACAACTTAAATCTAAATGGGCTTCACAGTATTTTCTGTTGAATTTTTTGTTAATTTAGTAGCTGACGGGATGTAAACAGGGATCACAGCGGTTGCCCCATCAACAGAATGGCAATGGAAAGGTCCATATAGCAACAATTGAGTGGCTCTGGGTGTGGTTGTTCATAAGTATTTATCCTGAAGTCACTGGGTTTTCCATAAGAGAGGGATGAGGGAGAAGAGAGGAGAAGGGGTGGGGTGACGAGGCGAAGACAGGGACACGGACGTGGGGGGAAGAGTTTGACTTTGAGGTTTGGATGCGCAGAGGAAGAAATTCCCAGTTAAATTACTGACGCTGCTGCTCAACTGGAGACATCGGTTGAGGTTGCCCAAGGCCTGAGTCTCACCCTGGGACACTCCCTATCTTTCTCTCGTCTCTCTTTTCAATCCTCCTCACTGCTCAAACACCCACTACGCCTATGGTTTTTAATCAGAACTATGCAAAAAAAAAAAATCACAGTAACTTAAGTCACATCAAGCCCTATAGTGTGCAAGGACAACACAATCCTAAAAGTTCACTACAAGCTCACAAAGTAATGGTGTACAGCAGAATATCAAAGCCGTTTCGGTTTTCACTGCCCTCACAATAGCCTCAGTGTTATTTGTCAGCCCGAGCTTGAGAGGGAAAGAGTTTAGGAGAAGCTGTGTGGGAGAGGTGCGGAGCGAAGCTGCTGGCACAGGTCCAGATTTCAAACCGGCACCGCAGTGAAAAAGGTTTGCAGGGGAAAGTAAGGTCAAGCTAAACTGAGACCCAGGGATCTGGAGGCCTGAAGAACTCACTGACCATCAGAATATGTGCTTGAAGGGCTTCAAACTAATATTTTCTTCATGTACAAACTCAACCACAGGGAAGAAAGAGTTCAGGTGTAAGTGTTGCAATCTGCACTGAAACACAAACAAGTAGCTACAGAATGACTTTGATGTAGAAACTGAAGTTAATCTTTAACTCTTTGAGGGGTTTTCCTTTCGGTCAGTTTCGGTATCGCAGGGTTTTTGGTGAAACCTGAACTGTCTTTGTTTGACGCTTTGATGGGGGCTGAAGCTCGGCATTTTTCTTTCATGCTGACCTTAGTATTAATTTAATAAGGTCTGTAGTGGAGAGCCAAAGGTTGATGGTCGAATAGCTTTTGTGTTTCGTCATTAAACGGAGACATGCCAGGTGCTTGAAAATATGTTGCTCTGACTGTTCAAATATATCCAGATATCAAAACACAGAAAGATGTTACTCAAGAGCTTATTTTCGCCTTCAGCGAGGAATGTGTTGTTGCTGCAGTCACATAAAAACATCCTGAACTTGTAATCTCTGTAATCAACATCATACCGAGTAGTTCCTTTACCCTGGTTCAGCTTTGTTACACAACAAGAATCAGATGAGGTAGGACTTGTTTATGGGTCTGTTTGTAATTAAACCTTTTTTCTCTCTCCGTACTGAGACTGGAGTTTCCTTGGTTTTATTTCTCATAACTCCTACTGATCTCTCCTTTTTGTTTTGCATTGAAGTCATGGCTGCAGCAGTACGGGTACCTGCCCCCGGGGGACATGAGGACCCACGCCCTCCGCTCCCCTCACTCCGTCTCCTCGGCCGTCGGCGCCATGCAGAGGTTCTACGGACTCACCGTCACTGGCACCTTTGACACCAACACGATTGAGTGAGCAACCTCAAACAGCTGTATTCTACATGTAGAAAAAGTGCAGCCTTTCAAAGCTATACTATCTCTTGCCGTGTTTTGAGTGGACTATGTCTCGTCTTCGGCAGGGCCATGAAGCGACCGCGCTGTGGCGTGCCAGATAAGTTTGGTGCCGAGCTGAAGAGCAACCTGAGGAGGAAGAGATACGCCATCCAGGGCCTGAAGTGGAAAAAGAATGACATCACCTTCTCGTAAGTCAGCAATGTGCTGCGTCTCTAGAGGCGTGATGGACAGTACCTAATGCTAAAATCGTTTCGCTTACTCCTACCTTTGTACCTAATGAACCGACGTGAGAAAGCCCTAACTGGTGAGGGGACTATTGAGGAACTGAAAGGTTTTTCTTTTCTATAATGAGGAAATAATTCCATGTTTTACCTTAATCCCATCCACCCCCCCCCTTCACACAACCACACACTCTGCAGTATACAGAACTACACCCCTAAGGTGGGTGAGTACGAGAGCAACGATGCCATCAGGAAGGCCTTCAAGGTGTGGGAGGGTGTCACCCCGCTTCGTTTCCGGGAAATCCCCTACAGTTACATAAGGGACAAGGTGGAGGAGTTTGCCGACATCATGCTCTTCTTCGCCGAGGGTTTCCATGGGGACAGCAGCCCATTCGATGGGGAGGGAGGCTTCCTAGCACATGCCTATTTCCCCAGTAATGGCATCGGCGGGGACACCCACTTTGATGCGGCTGAGCCGTGGACTGTTGGGAACAAGGATCTGATGGGTGAGGCTCTTTTCAATCTATGATATTTTGATAAATGAGGGGAACGCTTTCCTCTGAAACTGATGATGCCACAATGTTGGGAGGTACTCTGTATGTTGGGAGTCAGCAGGACTCTTAATTCTGCTGCTGTGGGCAAAACACAAGCAGCAACATGTCTAGTCTTGTGCCAGTACATTTACGGGAGTTAATACCCTGTGCTATGTTGATACTGCAGAAGTGAAGAAGCGTTTATTTCTGGAGCACAGCAGACTGTGTTTGCACTGTCAGCTGTTTGAGTGACACATCGTCTTATGGTCTGCTGATCATTTAATCTTTGATTTACTGAAGTGATAAGTATTTGTGTGCGTTTGAGTCACTTAAAAATGAGGAATCGGCAACATTTACTCCTTCTCCTTCAGTACCTATCGTCTCATCAGCACAAGAGTAAACTCCACCTATTTCTCTCAGATACTACTTTCAATTGCTTCAAAAATAGAGTCCTATTAAATGGTGTTTTGGTGTTAACACTGTTCCAGGTAATGACTTATTCCTGGTTGCGGTCCATGAACTGGGCCATGCTCTGGGTCTGGAGCACTCCAATGACCCTTCAGCCATCATGGCTCCCTTCTACCAGTGGATGGACACCGACAACTTCCAACTTCCTGACGACGATCGCAGAGGCGTACAGCAACTTTATGGTACGTTATTGGACAATTTGCTTTCCAAATTACTATCTTTGCTTTCCTAACTGAAGTGATACACCACCAGAAATCTGAAGAAAGGTGTCTTTCCAATGAACATTTAAGATTAAGTTTACGAAAATCCTTTTCACATAGGTTCTGGATCAGGCCCTCACCCCCCCGATGTATCACCCCGTACGCCGAACCACAACCCAGACCCCACATATTCACCAGACAAGCCTCGCTTTGGCCCCAACATCTGTGACGGACACTTCGACACCATCGCCATCCTCAGAGGAGAAATGTTTGTGTTCAAGGTAAACTGGCACAACCTCGTCAGACCTGTAATATGACAGTTTGTCGAGCAGTGCTGTTAATAAATCTCTTTTTCACTTTCAGGACAAATGGTTCTGGAGGGTACGTAACAACCATGTTCTAGATGGATACCCCATGCCGATTGGTCACTTTTGGAGGGGATTGCCCACCCATGTCAATGCCGCTTTTGAAAGGGAAGATGGGAAATTTGTTTTCTTTAAAGGCAAGTCTGGCTTCAGAATAGTAACACAACATTTAAAAGACTTCCCTTAAAAGCAGTCATCATCAAACAGTCAACATCTTGCAGTTATCTCATGTCCACTCTTTCTGCCGTTCTCTCTCTCTCCAGGGGACAAGTATTGGGTGTTCACTGAATCCATTCTGGATGATGATTACCCTAAGAGTCTAAAGGAAATGGGCACTGGGCTTCCCAAAGATCGAATGGACGCTGCTCTCCACTACACCCCCACTGGACAGACGTATTACTTCAGAGCAAACAAGTTAGTCATCCTCCTTCTGTGTGTCTGTATGTGCGTCATATCCCACGATGAAACTGTACTGAAGTTTATAAACTACTGATTCCAAAGAGCATGCATTTGTGTCAACACCACCAAATGATATGTTTCAATATTGACCATATAAGGTCAAAAACCTTAGGTCAGTCACTTATCCAGAATTACAAACCTGCATATCGTTTAAACATAGAAATAAACATTGAGGAACTTCAAAGCTTGCTAAGCCCCCCCCCCCCCCATGTTTACACTATAGTCATTACACAATAGTCATCTTTTTAAAACAGTTTGGTAAAACGTGGCAATCCGTGATTACAGTGCAAACGGCCACCCACATAAACAGAGTCACCAATCTATCTGCCATATTTCTACAGAAAACACCCATTTTGTAAACTGCTTTGTGGTTTAGTTTAGCAGATTCACCAAAGCACATTTTCAAGTTACAAGTTACAAGCTGAGTGTCAAGTCACAAGTTCTTTAGAGGACGTCTACATAAAGACTGAAGTCCTGAAGGCCAGTTCAAAGTCTCACTTCTGTCAGAACAAGTCTCAAGTCAAGTCCCAAAACCTTTGGGCCAACGAAAAGTCAAGTCTCCTGAATTTCTTGACAAGTCAGTTCTCAAATAATTTGAGATAACTGCAGGTAAAATATGCTAGGGCAAGTCAAAATCAAATCTCAAGTCTGTCAGAATAAGTCTCAAGTAAAGTTTCAAGTCCTTTTGGGCAAGTCCAAGTCACATCTTATGTCTGTCAGAGCAAGTTTCAAGTCCTTTAGGGCAAGTAGAAGTCAAGGCTCAAGTCTTTCAGGGCTCTGAATGAGACCATTAACTCACCACAGCCATTCATCTCTTTACCTTTCCCCTCTTCTTTGTTTAGATATTACCGTTTCAACGAACATACACGAAGCGTTGACAGTGATTATCCAAAAGCTATTAGTGTGTGGCAAGGAGTGCCTGACAACATCAAGTCGGCCTTCATGAGCAAAGATCAAGGTAAGGGCGGCGTGTACGATATAACCTAGACTATCTTCTCACATCTTCGTGTCAACCAATAGTTGTAGAAGTTGCTTTTCTGTTGAGTTCCCATTTGCGTCTCACATTTCTTTCTTCAACCCCCCCCTCCAGTGCACACCTACTTCTACAAAGCCAACAAGTACTGGAAGTTCAACAACCAGATGATGCGTGTGGAGCCGGGATACCCCAAATCAGCCCTCCGCGACTGGATGGGCTGCCCCAACGAAGACCCCAAGACGGATGGAGGAAAAGGCGGCGGCGGACACGACAAGGACAAGGAGAGGGAGAAGGACAAGGAGCGGGAGGATAAGGACAGAACCAGAGACAGAGAGAGGGAAAGAGAGAGGGAGACGGAGAAGGAGGAGGACACGGAGGTGATCATTATTGAAGTGGATGAGGAGGAAGGGGTAGGGGGTGGCAGCGGAGCAGCGGCTGTGGTGGTGCCGCTGTTCCTGTTGGTGTGTGTGATTGCGACCCTGGCCGCCTTGGTGTTTTTCCGTCGGTACGGTACCCCACGCAGACTCCTCTACTGCCAACGATCTTTACTGGACAAGGTGTAGACGGAGGAGGAGGGGAGGGAGAGAGGAGGGAAAGACAGAGAGAGAAAGAGAACACAAAAGTGGAAGGAAATCTTAAACACAGATAATGAGAGCAGAAGAGATCAGAAACTGGAGAAAGAGCAGGAGGAAAAGCACCAGACTTGCATTTTAAAATATTCGTACCACTGCCAGATTCCTTCTGCTCAACCACTCCACTTCCATCTCTCCCTCCCATCTGGCTCTGCCTCTGTCCTCGCGGTTACTGACGCCAGCTCATTGCTGTTTGTTTTAGTCTTTTTCAAAGTCTTATTTTTAGTTTCTTTCAGTGGTCAGTGTTTGTGTCCTCTTCGAACCTGCATCTCCGTGACGCACATTCTAGCATGTTCTTACGAGTGAGCAGAGAGCGAGTTTGATCGTTGGTTCCTTCCCCTATGCACATACACACACAGACACACACTTGGAAACCACAGTGACATCGTCATTGTGTTTTTTAATCTTCCAGTAGAGTAACGTATCAGAGCCATTATGGACGATAAAAGGGAAAACAAACCATTAGCTCAAGTTTTTATGAAGCACGAGATACACTCATATCAGAGTAAAGCAATAAATCAGTCTTTTCCTTTTTTTTATATCAATGTCTTTAGTGCTGATTATTATTATAAATGATGTCGTCATTATTATTATGACTAATAGTATTCTTGTTGTTGTCCTACGTGTAAAGAATGTGTTTTTTGTACATTGTCATTAAAACGTCCTGCTGGACAGTGACATACGGTTTTTAAAGTGGCCTTAATTTTATAAATGTGTGGGGACAGTGAATGGGGTTTTGTATTCTTGAAACTTGATTGTTTTTTTTGTTTTGTTTTTACCTTGAATCAATCTCAAATGAAATAAATTGAAGATCTGAAAATTACTCCTTTTTGTCATTGTACTTGTTTACAGTTTTGAAACCATGGTGCTACATTACAAGTTAGGGGTTATAAGTAGTTTAACAACAACGATAATGATACTAGTGATACTGATAATGATCTAGTTTTCTCTTTGTGTGTGTGTGTGTGTGCCCTTACTCACTTATATTTTTAAGCTTTTCTTACAAAATAAAGTAATTTCAAAAGGCTTTCTGTGCTTTGATTTTCACTCAGTAAAACATTCACTTAATATTTCTTTCTTCGTGTCATCTTTCTGTTAACTGCTTGGAGCAGAACTGGAGCCACTCACTCTCTTAATGCGGCAAGATGTCCACCTAGGTCCCTATGTGCTTTCATATAATCCAGTTCTTACCTGTACTCTTATGCTCTCACATTAATCTCACCCGTCTGGTCCTCACCACGTCTTCCTGGACCTCCAGGTTTCTTGCTCCCCGGCTGCATCACTCTGCTTTACTGGGGCTCGGAAACTGGCAGGCCAGGATCTGGGTCGGAAAACGCGGACTGGATCCAAAGCTTAAGTAGAAACAGGGATAAAGAGGATTGTGTAAAGTCGTTGCTGCACAGCAAGAAAACATATCTCAGCTGTACAGTTAGAGCGACAGGGTGTGTGTGTGTGTGTGTGTGTTCGTGAATGTGGTCAACGCAGGTCCCACAAGTATAGCAATACAAGCATGCTCTCATGCATGTTTTGCACAGTTATAAATGCCATTATTTGTGCATTATGCACATGTGTATATGTACACTCCCATCCACCATGAGGCCAATAAAAGCTCAAAGAGCAATCTTAAGCGTCTCCTAACTCCTTAATGATCCCACTAATGAGCAACTGCCGTACAGCTATTAGACCCACTGTAAAGATGACTGACTGCAAGAGAAGGAGTGGGTGGGAGTCATCGCCTCTATGATATGTTGTGATTACAGCAATGGGGCTTTATGCAATGAAAATGATGAGGTATTTTCCTATTGTGCCCAAAAGGGCTACGGCGCCCATTTGTCTCCACTGTGCTGCAGTGTGTTGAAGAGCTGGGCGCTGGAGAGAGAAGTCACGAGGCTTTTTTGTGGGTGTGTGGAGGGGGGGGGGGGGGGGTGAGAAGATGAAGGAGGAGTGAGGAGGGTTAAGTCACATTTGGATGCCAGAGATGGAGCAGAATTCCATGAGCAACATCTGGAATTCCAACTGCATCATGTAGGCCAGACACACAGCGGGACGCGGGATGGGGGTTGGTTTGGATATGTTTAATTGGCTTTTTTTTTGACTACATCATGGTCACAATAAAGGATATGTAAAGTACCATTATGTGTTTTGGGAGTTTTCTCCCTACTCAGCAGGTTTTCAGTAAGCATCTGTATTTGTGCACGATGTTTACCTCGCTCAAATCATCTCCATGGCCCGCACACAAGTCAGACATCTAGCTTACGAGTCACGATTTTGATGTTTTCCGTCCTCCCCAGCTGATTCTGCAGAGCGAGGAAAAGATTCGCCTCAGCATAATTCTTCCCCACAGCGCTCTCCTTCCTCTTCTCTCTGTGTAACCGGAGAGCTTTTTCTTCACTGTCTGCGAAATGACTCACTCCTTTTTCACAAAGCCCGACAAAAGAGCACACCACACGGCCCCTGGACGCTTCCAGCCACCTCCACTCCTCTTGGCTCTCACATGTCAACACAGATAAAGGAAAAGGTCATTTCTAGCCCTGATTCCAGTGCTGCTGATCACTTTCCACAAAAGCAAAGTTACAAACTGACTCCTCCATCCTTTCCTCTGTGCCAATTGGGCCTCACATACATCTACATTGAACCCCTACTCACAGGAGACGCCATTAACAAGCTCCTTTAATGTTTCTGTCTCTGCGCTGGACACTTCCTGTGCCTGTTTCGGTTGGCATGTGAATAGCCTGCAAGCTGATGAGTGGAAACTTCCAAATAGGGTAAGTCCTGCTCTTGGCTATTATTGTGTCATAATTGTGTCTCAAGCGCCCCAGTAAGCCGTCAAGCACAATGTCAGGGGCGTGAAACTTTAAAGTTATTAATTATGCTATGACATGTCAGCATGCTGTGAAAAGGTCTACCGTGTCTTGACGGAGGTTTGCTCCCTATTTAAGTGCACTCATTGTTTTAAAATAGAAACTAAATGTTGACCTTTAAACAAAGTATGACACACTGTGGAAGGGTGCAAGAGTAGTTGTTAGAGTAGAGCTGCTGCAATCACACACACACGGTGGTGTACACTGCCAGTGAAAGAGCGGGATCAATACTTAATACTTTTTCCGTTGTGTCTGCATCTTATTAATCCATTTAGCTACACACGGAAAATAACTTTCCCCGTTAGTTAAACTTTTTTTTTTGTGTGCCCCAGAGGTCCCGATCTCATTTTCACAGACTGTTTGTTTGATGATCTGTTTTCTTAGCCGTGCAGTTTTTGTGTCTGCCCCCTCGTGCTGAATCTGCTTAAAGCTATCAGTTTAAAGCTGCCTGCTTTTGTTACACTAAACACAATGTCTGCACTTAGAATCGGGCGAGGTGCCGTGGGAGCGGTCTCTTTAAAATGTCGGAGGGAGGCATTGTGTGGGCGACAAAAAAATACAGGTGCAAGGAAGTTGAACAATCAACATTTCAACTTCTTTAGGTTGCATTTTTTTTTTTTTTCTTCAGAGCCGTTTCATATGGCGTGGTTTCCCCAAGCCCTGCGGGAAAACACCTCCATCATAGGAGATGCTGATTCAGGCTACCCTCGCCCTGACCCAGCCATATCCGCAAGGAAACCCCCTGCTTCGCTCAGGGCCCTGGTCAGGATTGTGGGCACATTTCTTCTGGCAACTAAATACATACACAGTCACTGTCTGAACTCTGAAGACCACAAGAGAGCAGCAGCAAGACCCCTCCTCAGCCTCAGCCCCCCCTCCAGATCTCCTGCTGTCCGTTAATGAAGTCTCACACAACCTCATGCATGGCTTTTTCTCTCTCTCTCGCCTCTTTCAGCACAACAAGTCACATCTGGTTTCCATAAGCATATACATGTCCTCACAAAGACGGGGAGGGGGGAGACAAGAGGGGAGGACTAAAAGAGGAGGGGGAAGGGTGTGTATGCATCAAGGGAAGTTAGAAACTTCAAGGAGTGGTGGGGCCGACTGTCAAGATATCGCTCTTTCGTCATCCCTCCAAACTCTCCTCGCACGTGTCTTCTAGACACAGGCCAGCTTCCCTTCAGTCAAAGAACAGAAGGAAATCTATAAGAGCAAGTATGTGTGTGTGTGTGTGTGTGTGTGTGTCAGAGAGAGAGTGGGGGAAAAGCATGGGTAAATAGGATTCAGACAGAGAAAGAAAAACTCCCAAGTCTGTGGAGATTCAGTGAGACGTGCGGAGATCAGAAGGGCCACATCAGAGCGTGCTTTTGAAAGCAGAGCTCGGTGGGCCTCTATGCTGAGTTCCTAACGGTGCTGGACACAAAGGCCCATGTGGTTACAGTGAGGGGGGGAGGAGGCAGGGGGTGTCGGGGGTGGGACTGCTAACAGAGCGAGAACATATTGTTTTTACTGCCCACTCGTCAGCGTGAGAGTGGCCCCGCACAGCTGACTGGCTGGTCATGGAGGCCTTTAGCATTGACCTGAGCTCTACACCAGACACAGGTGATTCTGCTGTGCTGTCACTAGTGGTTCTGTAAAATAAACAAAACAAAAAAGAGAACATGGTTTCGAGTCATCTTTTCTCTTCACCTGTGGTCACAGTGCTGTCCAGCTGTTCCACTTTAGATTTACAAGAAGGATCATTGCCAAATCTGGCATTCCACAGAGCTCAGAATCCTGTGTTAAAGCTGCAGTAGGCAGTTTTGCATGTTGAATTTCAAGACTTTTGTTTATTCACAAAGTGGAACTAGTGAACTAAAATCATTCGTAGCTGAGGTTCTCCTTGTTGGTGTCAGTTTTCAATGGATAGACTTCAGGTGTTGCTGCATTAGATGTTCGTGTCTAGACGGTAACTCTCAATTCACGAATCTCTTGTGAGAGGGATGAGGTTGGGCATTGATTGAAAGGTTACGGTTAGGATATGTCGTCGGGCAGAGTTTATGCAAAAACTAGGTTTAATTTTTAGACACGACCACATTAGTGTGGTTTATTCCTGGTGTCACACAATACTGCTGTTGACAGCTGATTATTGATATGATTTGGGCGTGATAAAGATTCTAAACTTAAATCTACAGATCTAGTGGCTGCCAGTTGTTAACAAATAGCTGTACAAAATGTTTGGGACCGCCAGAGCTCCATTTGTTACAGACCATTGATTCAGTTTGTTGTTTAATCCTTCTTGACTGTCAAAGACAAAAACAAGCTGTGCATGTTGGGGAAAACAACTTTTGTTTGTGGTTTATCCAGTCTGCCAGTTGCCGAAAGCAGCTGTTTTGGGGCGTAAAAAGCTCTGACAAACCAACCGTGTGCTACCTGCCCAGCACCCAACAGCAGACGGACGAAGTTAGAAACAAAGAAAATGACATGAACCAGCTAAGGAGGCAGATATTCCCCCCCCCAAGAGTTTGTGTAGGCCAGACTAGACCTAAAAGGAGAGGGAACATTGAACTGGAATGTGCCTGTAGTCCAGTTGTTGTTAGAGCAACATGAATACAAAAATGCTGCAGGATGTGTAAAAAGGCAACTGTTTGCCATAAAAACAAACCCTAAAGGTGTGGTTGGGTGTGATGAATAAGGCTGTAGCGGGACTTGCAATCTTTAGGCTGGAATGACTTTTTTAAGTTAACCCATTGCCTGAATATTGTAGGCTTATTGACAGTGTCATTAACTTATTACCCTAGTCCTCTGTCCTCAGACTCAACAGAAACAATCTTCCATCACTTTGCTCTGACACAGACACCGAGTCCTCCACCTGCCTGCTAGATGAACGTTAGAGATAAAAGACTGAATCTCTCTGCAGCGCTCTCATTCCGAGCAGTCAGAAATGTGTTCTTGGGTTGCCAGAGAGATGCCAGGGTGAAGGATTCACTGGTCCTCACAGAGTCCAGACACACTGTGTTGCATCAGGGCAGAAAAATGTTCTGCTCAGCGACCATAGGGCCGTAATTACATAGGCGCACTGCTGAGCTCTGCAGGATGAACGTCAAGACCGGAGAGATGGAACGAGGGAACAGAAGAGGGCAAACGCAGGATCTGCTGCAGACTGCGAGAAGCGAATGGTGGGCAACATGGGGACAGAGAGTTCAGACTGTTAACTCTCCTGTATCGGAGGAAACCACAAGATTTGGATGAGTGTCAAATGAATGATGCCACTTCAGAATTGATGCAAAGGAGAAAGTGTGCCATACAGAGAGAGTATAAGTTGCTGGTAGATCGGTGTGTGCTTAGTTTTTCTGCATTAAGTCATTCCCCTTGTGTTTGATGCTCTGACTGACCTGGAACACAATATGGTGTGACTGACACCTTGTGGATTCTGAGAGTATACCACAGATTAAAACCTTGTGCTTTGCTTGATCTGAACTATTCACAGGAAATTGTTACATTTTTTTCAAACCCCAGAACCTTGGAAGAAACACCCGTCAGCAGGAATGGAAAAGAAACGTCACAGAAATTTCAAATTTCAATTTTTATTATTTGTACATTCACCACTGATAGGCGTACTCAAAGAAGAAATAATACAAAAAAACACACATACCTTTATACTAAATGATAGAATGAAGATTAAAAAACAATATTAAAACCATTGGTGAGGAAACGCATAATGCACCCCCCCCTCCCCCCCCCCACAGAGAATCATCTCATCTCTTAACTAAACAGAGGGAGAGAGGAACACTTCATTGCGTTAGTAGTTACACCTTTCCAAAAATACCCCAGAGCTGCCTCATTTAAAGACTTGGTTTTGAGTTATCTAATATGTCTGTACAAAATGCCAAACACACCTATTCCAATATTTTCTGATTTATGCAATCCTCTGCACAGAGGTCAGAGTTTTCTCTTTAGGCAGGACTGGCAAGGAGAGCCTTGGACTACATGCAGCAACAAAAGGATTCCTCATCCGGATTCCAGAGCTGTTGAAACACTGAGGCGACGACGACTGATCAGAGCAAATCATAATTGGCACCTACACTTTGGGGCAAAGGGGGAACATTGGGGGAAACTATGACCCAGCGTGCCGTACTGCGAAAATCATCGAGACAAAAAAAGGGGAAAAATAGAGGCAAACGTATGAAGAAAATATATGAAACCTCGACAGACGCGCGTCGCACAGCACTCTGGGTAACACTGCAAAGAAATCATGGTCCCCTTTAAGCATGGCGGTGTGTAGGTGTAGATGTGCTTTAAAAAAGGTGACAATTTGAGGGATAGTGACGACATCAGTTGGTCCTCTGTTGGGTCTTAGTTGTAACAAAGTACATGTAGTGAAAGGCAAATGGAAGAGGGTGGTCTCTAGGACAGTTCCATCGGGTGATTGGCCATTAACGTCGCCTTTCTCGCGGGTCGCTGCGGCTGCGGGAGCGTCGGCCTCCGCCTGCCCCGCGGCCCTCTGGTCTACGGTAGCCATCCCTGCGTTTGTCATTCTCCCTCTCCCTGTCTCTGTCCCTCTCCCTGTCCTTCTCCTTTTCCTTCTCACCCTCACTGCGGTCTCCTGTTGGGACGCCTCCAGGTTTCATCCTCTCCTTGCGCTCTTCTTCCCTTTTTTTCTCCTCCTCCTCATCTTGCTCCTTCCTCCGTTTCTCACGCTCCTTCATGCGCTCTGCTCTGGCAGCTTCCCGTTGAGCAAACTAAAATGAAGATGAATGCACAGAGCAAGATTTTGAATTAGATGGTTATGTATTTGAAAGTGATGCATTAAAAGCAGCACGCCAAGTGTCAACCCTCACCTCTTCATCCGTGAGTGGAAGCCAGTATATGCAAGGAGGCGCTTTAGTTTTGCGGAACAAATCATCAAGCAGCTTTGCAGGGGGATCCTCAGCCGTTTTCTCTGCCAAAAACATAAATATTAAGGGCTGCAACAACTGCTCACATTTCTATTTAATATCGATTATATCTCAGTTAATTGTTTTGTTATTAACATGTCAGAAACGGCCTGTCACTCCGATGTAAAAGCAGTCTGAACTCATGGCTGCATCTCTTACCTTTCTTCTCGGTCTTCTTCTCCTTGCTCTTTCCTCTCTCCTTGCGGCGTCTCTCTCTGGAGCGTGACCTCCGGGGTCCTCCCTCCTTCTCCTCACCCGGCTTCCCAAACTCTCGGACCTTGTCGCGGTCCCACTCCCGCTCTGCTCTAGCCTTCTCCCGGCGCTCCATCTCACGCTCGCGTTCGGCCCACTGGTCTCGCTCGGGGAGGAGAGAGGGCAGGCCCGCTGGTCGACCGCGGCCAGCGCCGGGCCCTTGCTCCTCCGCTGCGGGTCGGTCGGCCATGCCTTTGTGGAAGTCCAGCTACAGGGCAGAGATAGTCTCAGGCTACAGATGGCTCAGCATTGCGGGCGAAAGAGAAAAACATAAGCGATAACAAAAGAGGTCTTACCTCATCCTTCTGGCAGAAGTCTACGCTCAGGACTTTTGGGTTGCTCTGAGGCCATTTCACTCCATGAAGAGATGCCCGTGTAGCGACGGCCTCCTCTGGGCTGCAGTACTAAACACAGAGAAGAGCTCCGTTAGACACTGGAGAACCTTCCACAGGACAGAAGCAGTCTGGCTCAGCTCCATCAGAGAAAACACATGCTTGTAATAACTCACGGTGACGTAGCAGTGGGACTTGATTTTGTCGATCCAGAAGCCCTCCTCCACCAGGGTGCCGGTTCTGCCGAGCAGTTCCTTAAGCTGCCCCAGAGTGAACGGCCTCACCTAAAAAACAGAGTATGTATTGTGACTGCTTCACACAATGCTGATGATAGTGTGAGCGAAAATACCTAGCATACATACATACATATTCAAATCCTTTTCCTGTAAATAGCATAAAGATAAGCATATTGGGTTTAAGACTACAAACACGTCTTTTTAAGAAAGTGACAGAGGTGCTTACGCCTCTGAAAGATGCACATGGGTTCCTAAAAGTGTGTAAAGGAAGATAGTGAGGTTATAATAGGTGCCTAGTAGGTAGTGGTGTCACGGACCAAAAGAAAAAAAGCTTATCAATGATTGGCAGTCGGTATTGACGGCAAAAAAAAGAAAAGAAAAAGTAATTGGGTCATTTTTCTGATCCACGACTCAAATTGTGATACGATCTGAACCGTGAGTTTTGTGGTGCAGGAAAAAGAAAAACGAGTCCTGAACTGCACAGTAAGAGAAGCGCGTATCAAGAATAATCCTGGCACCATTATGAACAACAAATGCCCTCAAAAAAAAAAAAAAAAAAAAAAAAATCTGACATACATAGGATAAGCCTCTGTGCCACAGGAGTCCACGGGCAGAGATCCCTGTGCACGTGTAGAGAAGTAATTCTGTGCGTTTCTACTGATGTAAGGAATGAGCTGCTCTAGTCACGTTTACAGAATATGTCCACCACTTGTTTGGTTGCTCTTTTCCATCTGTGAACACCATTACCAACACCTGTTCATACTTAAGTAGAGCTTGTAGTGGTACTGAGGCCAGTGTTTCCTCACCAGGTTGCTGATGTGAACAATGCTGGAGACTTTGCCTCGAGGTGGCGAGGGCTGCCGGGACGTGCGAACGGGGTCATCGATTGTGATGGAAACACCCGTTTTCTGATGGCTGATGGAGCGACGAATGAGGGTGTCGCTGGGGGTCACTAGGATGAAGAAGGAAGAGCAGTCAGCATCGTGTCTCCATTACTACACTGTACCTACAGTTGTTACACTCTTTAGAAGGATTCTTGTACCTGACTATGTATCGTCAGTTGTGTTATTACAAAGAAAAACATTGTAATAGTTAGCTTTAAGTTAAATCAATTTCTAAACAAATACTGGGAACTGTTGGTCTTCATCTAGCATTGAATTCATCACCATCTTGTGATAAAGACCATCTTGAGATGGATCCTTTACCAGTGTTGATTTCTACATCATGGCTGGTGTGTGATGGAGACTGGGTTTCCATGGCTCCAGGGAATGGGGCGTCCATCTTCTCGTCATGTGTCCTCTCCGCGTCTCCCTGCGGGTCGTCGTCGTCCTCCGACTCCTCATCTTTGCTCCTCTTTGTCTCTTTCTGTCCATTCTCCTGGCTCTCCAAGTGCACCACCTGCAATATAGGGAAGGTATCAACACCAGAGAGTGGAGTGGAGCGTGAGCAAGTGGAAGGATTTTGGATGGAGCAAAACGTGGATTTTCTTCAAAAGGTTGGAGCCCGACCTAGAACGCATCTGTGTCTTTGAGCCTGGCGGCTGAGTAGCAAGGCAGCTTTCATGAGGAGCACCATATATTTGACACTAAAGACAGTTCCAAACTCGTCATTCATGTAAAACAGTAAAGAGCTGTGGACAAACCTGTGTGACAGTGCGGCGGATCTGAAGGTCTTGGTCAGAGCGCTCCCTCTCTTCTTCCTCAGCCCCGGAGAGGACGGCTTCATCTGGGTGCAGGTCCACCACTGCCTCCTGCCCGAGACACGGGCGAATGTCTGGGATCAGGGACTGAGGGCAAAGGACAGATAATGCAGGAGATGTACGGGCCTGCGGTGTTCAACACGGAGGACAGAGGCAATGCAAAGTGCCTGACAGCGCATCCACAATGTAGTATCAGTCGTGCCACGCTGCAAATACCTTGAGTGAATCGGTGGTAATGCTGATGGAGGGTTTCTTGGTAGTGACAGCTGTGCTGGAGCCCCACCTCCTCTTGCGACCGGCCGCGGCCCCGGAGTCCTGCTCGCCCTCTGCACTGCCAGTGCCTGGGGACGATTTACTGCCTGGTAAGACACGGGAAACATTCTGAATCCTCCAGTACATGGCATCACAAATCTATATATACATATTTTGGAAAAATTATGATCATGCAATCCAAATAATCTTAAGATTTATCGATGTGGAGTTCCCAAACAATAGACTAATAATGACATTATTGCATGCATTATAATGTAAATGCTGGTAAAGAAGAGAGCATGTTGGGAGGGGGACGTACTGCTGATGGAGATCTTACGAGCTGAGAAGGCCTTTGGTGTCTGAAACACAAGATGATAAAAAACAACCCGATACAAGGGAGAGGTGAGAGGCAGACACCAAGTGGTCAAGGACAGGTTGGAGAAAAGAGTCAATGATAGAAACTGCTGAGCAAAGTCTTTTTGAAATTCAAGTCTACTAAATGGCAGCGGGCTATTTTGTACTGTACTGGTAGTTAAGTGCATGCCATTCATAATTACTCGATAGCAAACTGGAGTTGCAGCTTCTATCATACAAACTAGGATCTGGTGGAAATACTGCAGTTTAAAATCGTATTATTTTCAAACTTTGTTCCTGAACAGCAACATTAACTCCAATTAGTTTCACAGAAGTGAAAATCAACTAAGATTATAAGAAAGAAGTTTAGATTAAACTGCAGTGGCCACAAATAAGATAAACATTCTGTTCTTCTCCCAGCAAAGACTACACAGGGTATGATTGTAAACTAAGCATTTTCAAAAGAACTATGAAATATGACATTGAGTAAACATCTACTTATTCCCTGGTACCACTGACACCTGATCCTTACTGGTTTGGATATGGCCCAATCACGACTGCATGTACTGTATCTAGGCAACAAGGGTCCAATCAAAGGTGGCTCAGATGTTTGGATGGAAATCTGAAAGCGTGTTGGCTGGCACGATGGTATCAATAGTTCTTTTGGGCTTTGAAATGCTTTTGGCCAAAGCGGTCATCCTCAGGTGTTTTGCCATTAGTCCTTTTTAAAAAAATGCGGCAGGCTCTTATAACGACGGTAGGAAACAATGAGTCCAATTAGATCAGACGTTGAACGCTGTCAACGGTCACTGTGCACTCAAATGCCCAAATTTCGATGTTGGTGTTCAGGTTTGTTCGAGGCGCAGCAAGTTCGTACCGAGAGTCACAAAAATCCAGAGATGGCTGTTGCAGAAAGGAACTCAAACAGGAAGTCCTTCTTCAGCTCAAATACAAACTGTCAAGTCCACCGAGTCCCAGTAGGAGCTTTGGCCTCTTTGAAAACTCAAGTCGTATCCAAGAAGGTTATTCGCTGGAGAATTCAGAATCCAAGAGATTAACAAAATCCCAAATGTCATTCGTGAAGCATGTTACAGTTCACCAGCCATATTAAATGACGTGTCGATAAAGGCCCCGCATTTCTCTGCAAGTGGGTTAAAAATGTCTCAAAAGTGAAATAATATGAAAACTATTCAGTGGTTGAGAGTTTCACAGCAGCCTTGACTTGACGTGCGCACACATCCTTGCTCGTCTCATCTCCATGTTGATTTTAAGGGCACGAGGCCTGATTTAGCGGATAAAAGGCTAAAGAGAGGTGGCGCACGTTGACTAGCCAACCCCTTCTTTGAATCTCCTTGTCCAATCAATAGCTCTGGCCGGCCATATCCATGAAAATGAGGCAGCCTTTGTTGCCAGGGGTGTCCCTCTGCAGTGCAGCCTTGGGGGCTTATCTGTGGTCAACCCTGGATTCTTGGGGACAGTGGAATAGGTGCAGCAGTAGCAGTAGTAGTAGTAGTGGCAGAGGTAGTATGCAGGTACCAATAGGGGCAATGGAAGAGGCATGAGCACCTTTATAACAAAGCAATCATTTGGGGTTTAAACATCAGCCACAGTGAGAAAACGAGCTTGCTGTTCCTGCCTATGACAGTGCCAACAAAAGGTTTTTACTAAACAACCATATTTAAAATAAAACTAATTTCCTATACACATTCTACCACTTGTCATAAGGGCTTATTAAATTCATCTAGTGGAAATATATTTTAAATGTAAAGAAAATATTTCCAACAAAGAATATAGATGTATAATCAAAAGACCTACATGTACTGTAATATATCCAGGCTAATCAAACTCAACTATAAAGAATCAACTTTAAAAAAGTTCAAATGGGTCCATCCATCTACAGTCCTCCTCGGCTTCCAACAGCTTTGAGGACCAAGATGATTGGTGGTTCTCCAGATGCCTTACCTCCTCGCTGGTCTCCGGGAGCTTCTCCGGCTCGGCCATGGCCGTCTCCTTCACCTGCCTGCATAGTGCGAGAAATACAAATGAGCAGGAAGGGAGGGGTCAGATGAGCAGAGCAGTACGATGGAGAAAATATATTTTTCACATGAATTACCAAAATCAGAGGGTGGGTTGTGTAAAATGTATCACGACTAAACAAATGAAACGGCATAGGGTCATAGTTTAATAGGAGCAATTAAACAGAATATAATATGCCAATACCACATATTACAATAAAAGTTAGGCAATATTTAAAGATAACTAAATGTGATGATATAAATGCACAAGCCCTCTTAAATATCATGCCTTGGTACATGAAGTACACATAATCTATAAACAATCAAAAGCACTACTATGCTACTTTAAATTTCATTTAAATCATAGAGGCCTAAACGTAGATAACAAGGCAGCATTAAAACACCTATTACTAAATCTCAGCAGTTGAACCTACTCTGAGATACACAACCAGGTGATGCTAAAATAACGGCGCCATAAGCGCATCTCACACTGTTGACCAGAGTCACTTTGTCATTTCACAAATACGTCGCTCCTAATTCTTCAATGTGGGTCAAAGGACGGAGCCGAGGAGAGGAGTCAAGGGATGCAAAGCCTCCGCAGTCCTCCTCCAGACCTGCAGAGTACGTCCAGTCCGAGCGGAACAGTCAACAGCAGCCACACGGTACCTGAATAATGAGCGCGCGCCTCACGTTCTCATGGCATCCTCGTGCGCGCACACGTTCACGCATTAGGACTCAAATTAACTTGGGGGAGACTACACTGCGAAGAAACGGCTCGGTTAAAACGCAGCAAACGCGCTGCGACTGTTGCTAAAGCGGCTGCGTCGCAACGAGCCTCCTCTCTCTCTCTCTCTATCTCCTCCCTCCTTCCCTCCCTCCCTCTCAGCGGAGACTACTCTTCTCTGAACGAATTCATTACGTCCGCCTGGCAACTACAACCTGTGACGGACAAACCCTCGCCCGCTGTTTAGCTGAGCCGCTGTATGGAAAACGGGCCGGCATCAGCGGTTAAATCCACCGTCGGAGAACAGCCATGTCGCATCGAATGAAAAAAAAGAAGAAAAAAAAAAAAGGACCGTGTATGAAAAGGACCCGCATCTTCTCAGCCGCACCGCTTCAAGGCTGTCTCATTAATCGCCTGACGGGAAAAGTCAGGCATCTCTTATGACACGGTTTTATCATTGCCAGAATGTATGCATAAATATACAGCGTTACGCGCTAATGGAGTGGCATTACATATGATCTGATGACTAAGAGAGTTTACAAAGCAAGATTTGTCAACACATAAACATTGCTCAGAAACATCTGGCACGGATTCCAATGTTTACCATATTTACTGAAGATGAGGGCTGGTGACTATTAAAATGGAAGCCATCTAGTCAGCCCGACATAGCTTTGATGTACAAGTTCACAATCAATAACTTGGGCAGGAAAGAGTTGTAATTCTATGCATGTCAAAATATCCCCACCACTTTTTCAACCATTTCTTTTCAGTAGTCTTTCTCAAAAGCCATTAAATCTTGCCTTTTGTTGACATTTCCAGCGCAAGTTTTGACATTTTCCCAGTGAGTTCTTGGTGGACAAAATGAATTCATCATGAACAGGAGATTGTACCGACACGTACTTACTTGAGCTGTACCAACAATCACATCAGAACATAATGGTTCCCTCAGCTGGAATAAAACAATCAGAGCAGCCAGTGCATGTGATATCATACTGGGACTCTCAAAATCATAAAAGGGATGAAACCAGGTTTGTATATGGAAATGGAAATTGACGTGTCGCCCCGCTATGATTTGCCAGTCTGCTTTAGACGGGCAGGACTTAGCGAAGGGTCAATTAAAGCAGTTTATCTAAAATGCAGAACCCCCATTGGCTTTTTAACTTCTGTAGTACAGAGTTAAAGAATGCACTGTTGACTATATATTAAATGTCCAATTGACTATCAGACCAGACTCATTCACATGCTTGTGTGTAAATCTGACACACACACAAATATGTATCGGATATGTTCCATAAGACCAAGACTTAAAAGCAGACCTTTTGTTGTCCGTTTCCTCCTCTCCCTCGTTGTCCTTTCTCTTCCTTTGTGACTCCTCTCTGCTTGGTGCTTCCATGAAAGTTTTCTGAGGATTTGAAAGAGCAGGGAATGTGAAATAATATAATCTATGTCAAAGTTGTTTACATAGTTCAGGTAACGCCATCAAAAGGGAAAAATAAATACCAGAAATAAAGCCATGAGATTGGTCTGTAGCATCACTTGATTTTAGATGAATCTTTGTTGTAACAAACCAAGCAACTGACCTTGGTGTGAGTGTCTCCATCAGCAGCTGTGTTACTCTTCTCTCTTTTGTAAGGGGAGGCTTTTGGAGTTTCCTTTAACCCCTCAGCCTTTGCCTGTAGTGTCATCCTGTGCTGTGGTGAGGTGTCTCTGTCAGGCTTCCCTTCCTAAAAAGGGACAAAACAAATAGAGCAACAATGAAAAAGTTCCATGATGATGAAGCACTTTATGTCAGGGTCAGAGAGAGGGGTTCCTTTTAGATTACTTACCCTTCTACCTCTTGTAGTGGAGGAGGTTTTCTCTTGAGAGGATGAGGATGAGCCAGACGACCCAGATGATGAGGACCCAGAGTCTGATTCTGAGGAAGAGGAATCATTAGAGGATGATCTTCGTCTTGCTTGTTTCTCTTCCTTCTTTGCGTCTCTTCCCCTACGCTGTGCAGCAGCCAGTGGGTTTGAAGGACTGCTTTCATCCACTTTTTTTGTGGATTCCTTTTCTTTGTCCTCCGACACTGAGCTGGTGGCCCCTTCTTTTTCGGGACCCAAGACCAGTGTGGTACCAACGGTGGCCTCCTTCTCGGGAGCGGCCCCCATAGACACCGGCGCCCTGGCAGCGACCTCCTGTTTTGTCCCCTTCTGCGGGTCTTCCTGTTCAGCGGAGGACTGGGGTACTTCCTCGTGGCGTTGCCCGACATCGGTGAGGGAGGAGACGGGTGAGGCCCGAGGCTGGGGAGTGTCGGAGAAGTTACGAGGTCGCTTGATGACCATGGAAGGGGAGGAAGATTGGAGCTGAATAGGGGTGTCCCTTAAGAACCGGAACTTCTTGAATGAGGATTGAGGCAACGGAGGTGTTGGTGACATGGGTGCACTGGACTCTGCTGCTTCACCCCGGGACTTTGGAGCATGGTCATCGCTCTGCTCTCCTGCTTCTGTTGAGGACTTTCTACCTGGTACAGCGAAGAGGGGGGGAGGAGTGGGCAGGGGGGTGAGGCCGATCTCACGGCCACGCTTGGACGGAGGGAGGTGACTTTCCCTCTCCTTTTCAGCCATCCTAGCTCTCTCTTTCTCCTGTTCCAGGGCCGTCTCCTGCTCCTCCTTCTCTTTCCTCATGGCCTTCTCCTTCTCCAGCCTCTCGTGTTCCAGAGCCCTCTCTTTCTCCTTCCTCTCCTTCTCCAAGGCTCTCTCCCTTTCAAGCTTCTCCTGCTGTAGGGCTCTCTCCCTCTCCTTCTCGGCTCTTTCCTTCTCCTTCCTCTCCTCTTCCAGGGCTGCCTCTTTCTCCATCCTTTCTTGCTCCAAGGCTTTCTCTCTCTCAATTCTCTCTTTTTCCTTCCTCTCACGCTCTAACCTCTGCTGTTCTAGGACTCGCTCCTGCTTCAACCTTTCTTGCTCTAGAGCTCCTTCTCTTCTCTCTTGCTCCAAGGCTCTCTCTCTCTCGAAACGCTCCTGCTCCAAGGCTCTCTCTCTCTCCAGTCGCTGCTTTTCCAGGGCTTTCTCTCTCTCTAGACGCTCTCGTTCCAGGGCTTTCTCCATTTCTAGTCTCTGTTGCTCAAAGGCTTTCTCTCTCTCTAGTCTCTCTTGCTCCAGGGCTCTCTGTCTCTCTAGCCTTTCCCTTTCCAACCTTTCCTGCTCCAGAGCCTTTTCTCTCTCAATCCTCTCCTTCTCCTTTCTCTCAGCCTCCAGAGCTCTCTCCCTCTGAAGCCTCTCTTGCTCGAGAGCCCTTTCTCTCTCCTTCCTTTCTTGCTCCAAGGCCATGGCTCTCTCTAGCTCTTTTACTCTCTCCATTTCTTCTCTCTCTCGCCTCTCTCTCTCCAGACGTTGTTGCTCTAGGGCCCTCTGTCTCTCCATCTCCAGGGCCCTCTCGTGAGCCAAGGCTTGCTCTCGCTCTTCCCTCTCTTTAGCCAAAGCGAGCTCCCTCTCCTGCCTCTCTCGTTCAAGGGCAAGTTCTCTCTCCCGCTGCAGAGCCTTTTCGCTTTCTTCTCTTTCTAAGGCCTGCTGTCGCTCAATTCTCTCCCTCTCCACAGCTCTCTCTCTTTCCTGTCTCTCCAGCGCCAGAGCTCTTTCCCGCTCTTCCTCCATGGCTCGTTCTTGCTCAAGTTTCCTCTGCTTCTCTTGCCTTTCCAGCTCGAGGGCCCTTTCTCTTTCTATCTCAGAGTCCCTCTCTTCTGTGGCAGTGGCCTTGAGCACACTAACGGGTAGTTGAATATGGGCTGAATGTGCTCCCACGATACCCTGGTTAATGCCTGCAATCGTAGGGAATGACACATGACCTGCAGTATTGGCTGTGTGAGTGATGGCAGATACCAGACCCTCTAGAGGCCCTCTGCCAGGAAATGATGTAGCTAGAGAACTGCCGTCTTGCCTGTCACCTTCCCCACCGGCGCGGTGCCAACCGGCTCCAGAGAAAGCACCTTCTGACTCCATTTTACGTGCCAGAAGGGTCAGCGGGCCCGGCTTGCGCTCGGGATGTCCACTCCTCTGCGGCTCTGGGCTGCTACTGCGGCTGCCGCTGCTGGAGGACCCAGAGCTGGAGGTACTCGATGAGCGCCTAGCTTGGGCTACATCTGGACTAGGGGGGCTCTGCTTAGGGGTGTCAGGCAGGGGGAATGACAGCTCTGGAGGTGGGGAGGGAGGAGGAGTTGGCTGGCGGAGTTGAGGGGACAAAAGGGATGGCATGTGTTGCTGCGGGGGTTGACAGGACGCCCCAGACCTCTCTCTGGACGTGGGCGCTCTGGCCGGCTCTCTGTGGCTTCTCCTCCGAGCGCCGCTTTCCCAATCCTCATCGTCGCCATCTTCCTCGCCGTCATCACTATCGTCGTCGTCGCTGTCCGCAGCGGCTGCGTTCGAGGCCGACCCCTTCTCTGGCCGGTGCTCACCATCAGGAACGCGCATGGCCATCGAGCCAGAAGCAGGAGGACCGGACACATCGGCCTCCTGGTTCCTGTTGCCCTCTCCCTCATTCGCCGCACCAAACAATCCGTCTACACCAGAGGGGCCGGGTGGCTTGTGCTGCTCAGCCAACGCTGGCGTGGCATCCTGACGAGGACAGAAAGGGAGGTGAGGCTTATTTTGCCGTTGCAATATGTTAGGAACAATTCTTACTGGCAAGTTCCTTTCAAATGTGCAAAAAATGTTTTGGGAGCACAGAGAATCTCGAGACCAAAAGATTAGAGAATGTGTGCTGCAATAGATAAGAAAAGAAAGTGATGTCTGACCTGGGCTTGAGGAGGGCATGATGTACTGTTATTGACTTCTGGGTGGTCCTCTGGCTCTGTTAAAAAAAAGACAAAAATAAAATCAACAAAATGTTTTGCACGAGGACCCGAGATGTATACAATGACGCACTTGTGGCAGTGGTGGATTCTATCAAAGCTTACCATTTGAGTCATATGCTTCGCGGGCCTCTCTCTCCAGCCGCTGCCTCAGGAGCTCCTGTTGTTTAGCCAGATACTGCTTGATGAAGCTGTTCTGGCTCATTTCCTCACCGATCTAAGCAGAGACCATTGAAAACAGGTTGAATACCTCACACATACGTTTCTGCAGACATTTATGAATATTGTGCAAATTTGCTCATTCATGCTCAAGTTTCTCCAAGTTGTTTTTTTGTATGCGAAGAGGCTTCAGCTGTTGATGTGAAAATGTAAGCATCTTTGAGACACTTACCTGCGAGTTTGGCTGCAGTCCGATGTGAGCGGTGGAGGTCCTCTGAAGGTTCTCAAGCATGAGAGCCTGTTAATGAGACAAGAAACATATTTCAATCAATGTCAATAATATGCAGGTATTCTTGACATTCTTAGAGTTGGTACTGAATTTATGACAACCTAGTTTCTGTGTCTTGAACTCAGCAGTCCTTTTCATTATGACTGCCAATATTTCCATCCTTTAGAACTTTTTACAAGTGTACCTCTGTGTGCCAGCAGCATAGATGGGACAAACACCATTCAGCATCTCTGCCCATCTTTCTTAATAATTTCTGGTTTGGAATATGTTGCCTTTGATGAAGCATACAGTGGAAAGCAACGAGAAACTTGTGGCAAAAGCAAGGAACAACAAAGTCCCCTGGTCAAGCCAACAATTAACACGGTAAGAGTCAATCAGACAAGGCATGTCGACTCGCAGACTGTGGTGGAGAGCAGACCAGATGGAGAATGATGTGGGTCAGGCAGAGATGCAACTTAAAAACAGCTGATCCTGACTTGGTTTAAATTGTACACATCTTTAATAAAACACTTTGTTTTCATCCATCTTTGTCCTGATAGTGAGTCATGCAGCATCCCTCCCGCTGTGCTGTCACTCATAGCCACAACATGGAAAAGGGCAACGTAAACACCACTTGGTGCTTCCATGGCACAATTCAGCGGACAAATGGTAATTACCCAGATTACCCGCTTAAAATAAGAAGCGAGTGTTCCAACTTTCATCACGAGGTAGATATGGCTGAATACCTGTCACAATGTAAACAAACGGGCTCATACGGTACCTGTGCAGCCCAAGGGCCTGTGATACATTGTAGGTCAAAACTGTTGCTAAATTGGCGGAAACCAGTGAAAGCCGCCTATTTGATAACATTACATTGACGTTAAATAGACACTTGGAGTTAGCGGATAATAGTAGTCGGGCTACTAAATAACGTGTGTAACATAAACCTTGCCGACTAAACTCATGTAGACCGACACGCTTGGGGCAGACACCGTCAATGGTTTCACAGACAGCCGCAAACCAGGCCACCGCTCACAGCACAGTGTTAGCCAGGAGAGCTAACAGGATAACATCACTTTGAAATTAGCCACTAAGTTGATTGAACTCCCGTTAACGCTACGGTTGATTTAATTTTGCACGGCGAAAACACTGCTCAACCAAGGCGCGATGCAAATAGCCGCAATTCTCGGCTAACTAATGGTCGTTAACCTCGATAACTATACTACGCTGCTAGGCAGCACCGACACTCGATCGGCGGCCCTCGAGAGAACATCAGCCCGTCTCATCGTTAACGTTAGCTTGAAGCAACCGTAGTCCCGTATTTCACAGCAGAACTCACCCCCTTGAGTCTTTTTACGAGCGCATTCTTCTGCCCGCTTTTGGAGAGTCCTCTCTCCTCAAGAGCAGTTTTTAAGTCCGCTACTCGAAGGGACTGGAGCGGTCTCCCGTCCAGCGTAACGTCTTCGAGGTCCGCCATTTTCCGTTCCTCTAGTCAGTTCCCAGCCAGAGCGACGAGCAACGCCTTCCTCCAACCAGCGTCACCGTGACGACTTCCTAGTCATATATCAAATAAATGTAACGTTTCTCATAATGTAAAGCCCAGAACACACAACATTCACTGTCAGTGATATTTAATGCATTTTATATAGTAGACACAGATTGCAATTTTATTTATTTTTGTATTATTTAACCAACGATAACCTTTGCGCAAAATCTGCGCAAGCTTGACTTCATACACAACAAGGCTAATGAGTTAACCGCACACTCTTCCTGTATGAATTTGTCGGAGAGATTAGTGCGACGCTCATTGAACATCGCTACCTTAACAGTATGCCGACAATAGGGTGATATACGTTTGAGAAAAAGATGGACACTCGCAAACATGAATGTTAAGAGCAGTTCATTGCGACGCTGAGTTCAGACTTCGTTGGTAAGATCGCTAAGATTTAAGCTAAGCTACATGTTAACGCTACCCAGACCAGAGGAGTCTCTCTGTGCAGCTGGCACAGCTGATTAACTTACAGGAATAGCTGACTTGTTTGGGGCCGAAACAAACCAGTCTTTGCAAAGATGGCGTGGTTCAATCACGTCAGTCAAGGCTTAAATCAGCAGCAGCAACCCATAGACAGCGACAGACTCACAGCCACAGACATGCTGACCTCCAGGCTCAGGGGTCCAGCAGAGGGATCCCCAACCATGGCGACGCAACACTGGACCGGGTGCCCCACTCCCAGTCCGGAGGACTTTCCATCGGCTCCACAGGGTGTAGTCAGCCCTCCCAGCCTTCGGAACCTGTCCTGCGCTTATCCGGGCGCGGGTAGGGTCAGAGAGCCGGAGCCCATCTCCTATGTGAGCCTCCAGGAGCAGCGGTGCGTCCTGAGCTGGTTCCAGGTCTGGAACGCCAGTCAGAGGGAGCGGTTCTTGCAGGACCTTCTGGGGAAAGCTGTACCTGGGAAAGTGTGCACCCTCCTAGATTCACTCAGCACTCTTGAGGTACCTCCTGCACCGCCACATCTTTAACAGATGTTCCAGAGTGATGTTATGTCATTTTCTATCATTTAACAGCTGATTTTCTCTCTTTTGTACACCTGCCAGGTTAAAGACAGACTACCAAACATCTATGAATGCCAACTGCGCCTGTGGACCCAGTGGTTTGAGTCTTGGGGAGAGGAGGAGAGGAATCATTTCCTGCACATACTGGAACAGCAGGACCCAGTTTTTGTTGGCCACTTTTACACAAGCGTAGCTGGTACATCAGGGAGAGACTGACTAATGTTTGCATTGTGATGGAAAGGAAAGTGATCATAATGAAATGTGTTAAGAGGTGACACTTGTTTGTAAATGTGTATTGAAACTGAGGTAGGTCTCTTCAGATAAATGTTTGTGTAACTGCGATAGGATTTATTGTTGCCATTTCATTGTAAGAACACACGTGTTCAATTCAATATGAGCTGTTTTTGATCAGTTTCATACACCGGTTTGTCCAGGGCTGCATCACACACCACTTTTCATTTCAGTTCAGAACTTTTTGTTTAATGCTTCTGTCATGGGCGAAGCTCTACCATCTAATGACCTCGGCCTAGTGATTGAAACACGTGGAATGACATGGACAAGAGGACAAATTCTCTTATAATAAACAAAATGCATCATTGTACATTTGTTGTTTTTTTAATATTCAGCAGCAGCAGTAACAAATATGTCTGAGAACTACTCGAGGGATTGTTTTATGACCTACTGAGATTACCGTAAATTAGATACATGGCTGTGATTTGACACAGAACAAAACATAACTTGCCTTGTTCTCTATTTTATCCAGTCGACCGATCCAGGAGGAAGTGACACTATTGGTGTCTGACTTTCAACATCCTCGACACACAAATTGATAAATGGATAGATTTTGCCAGTAAACCTTTGACCTACAAATGAGTACATATGAGACCTGGCACCAGCGTCGTAGAATGAGATCATTCCCTTTTTGTAGTCCAGCAGAATTCCAAGTGTAAGAGGTAGCGTCTGGACCGGAATACCAACGACACTCCTATCGATAGCTCTGTACTGACCCTGTCTGTTCAGGACTACAGTCCAGAAACCATTTGTCGGATTGAATATTATCGCTCCCTTTCTTTGAGAAGATTCACTGGCCATCCCAAGGTGGTAACAGAGCTTCCCAGCTACAGACACCTCCCAGTAATGTCTGCCAGTTGAGAAGCCGGTTGTGCCAAGGATGGCGAGACTCACATCAAACCGGCCCGGATGGTCGGGGACATCTTGTGTTACATCAGAAGTGGTTATCTCGGTGTTACCCACAGACAGAGCTATTCTTGGGTGCGCTGTGTTTGGATCCAAGGTCACCCGCCCTGTAAAACCGAGAAATGTAGTCGATCACGTGTATCTTTACATCACATCTTTGAAAGGAAGCTGACATTAAGAAGTTTAAAGCAGTCCTCCAGTGATTTAGTATGTCACTTCCATAAAGTTCAGGGAGTCACAAGTGACATGAAAAAAACAAAAATGGTCAAAATTAAGGCAGCAGCTGCTGAGACATCCTGACTTTTGGTCCTTAGCCGGGGTCAACCCCATAACACAGGATTGGACTACAATTCCCATGATGCAATACTGGCATCTTTCATTCCCCGTCTTCCAAACTTTTATTTTCCCAGACTTGATAAAGCTCATCCAGAGCCCGAAAAGACATTACACAACCATTTGCACAGGCTGAGTAGTGCCGTACTAGGTACTGACCTTTACGTGTTTAAGTCCTGCATACAGTTAGATTCATATCCAACAAGTCTGCTTGTGTGTAGGATTGTATATATATTTCTCATAACACTTATGTAGTTTGAAAATGCATCATGTAGGATTTAAACGTTGATTCTAAACAGAAATATCCCAAATATCTGGAGACCGGAAGATTCCAAGAAATGAAATGAATTCTTGTGTGTGACTCACTGGCAGAGATCGTCTTATCTTCCACATCCCTCAGTTTGGCTTGAAGCTCTGAGGAGAAAGAAAGGATATCATGTTGTTGTTTTTTTGGTCATTTTTGGGAGGGGGTGTTACATTTACACAGTGTATTCTCTGCACTTTGCTGAACAGAACTTATAGTTACCTTGTACACTGTCTTCAAGTTTGTTCTTCTCATTTTGAGATGTTGATGTTCAAAAAGTACATCAAACGACACACCTGATCTAAAGGGTACAGGATCCCACCATCACACTGGCTGCTTTAAGTTAACCCGTCCTTGAACATGACTGAATGTACTGATTACTGTCTGAACTTACTGCTGTATTCATGCTGCCGTGTGTTGTTCTCCCTGTTCTGTTCCTTTAACTCCCGCTGCAGCTGTTTGAGGGTGGCCTCCTTCTTGTGCAGCTGCTGCTGCAGGCGATCCGCATCCTCCTGGCTCTGTTGCAGTTGTCTTTGCAAATCTGTTTGATGACATATTCAGTTTAAAAAAAACGACATCAAATGACTCCCTGTATCTCAGCTACAGGTATAGAGTGATAATGGGCTCGTATCGAGGATCTCACCGTCACACTGGGTGTTGACGTCATCAGCGCAGCACATTTTCAGTTCCTTGACCTCTTGCTTTAAGTCTGACAGAGGAAGGAGGTGGAAACACGGACATTTATCAAACAACAAGTTTTAGAGGTATAGCTCAACATTCGCTTTCTTGCCGAGAGACAGAGTGTAGATCAAAGCCAGTTAGCTTAGCCAGGTTAAAAACACAACACAGTTTGTTACCTTTTGGACAGACCCAAGCTAGCTGTTTCCCCCTGTTCCCAGTCTTTGTGCTAAGCTAAGCTAACCGGCTTTTGGATTTTCTTGCATACAAACATGAGTGAGATCAATCTTCTCATCTAACTCTCTGAAAAAAGCGAGTAAGCATATTTCCCAAAATGTTAAAGTGTCCCTTTAAGAAACTGTACAGTACAAACCTTTATTTGTATTTTTAAGTCTTTTGTTCTCTCTTTGTTGCGTTTGTAGTAGTTGTTTCAATTCTGAGAGAAGACAAAGAAATTACCATACTTCATTAAAAAACAAATTTGGTGAATATTGAACAGTTTAATCATTACATGTCAGTCTTAGGAATATTCATAAGAACTACTCCAGCATGCATAGTAAGACATAATGTGCTGGACGACAGCAGAGACGCTACAGTAGAAAAGTAACAGATTGACAAACCGTCAATATTGTTTTCAGCAGCTTGGGAAGCCTGTTTCTGAGCCTTTTTCAGTTGTGTCCTCAGATCAGCAACCTCCATTACTAGCGGAGACACAGTCGCAGTGTTATTTTGTGCTTAAACGAAACAAACAAACACGACATGAAAACATAAGCAAAAAAGAAATGTTCTCACTCAGGTTGAAATTCTTCGTATCTGCATCCTTGAGTAGGAGTTCACTGTCTTGCAGTTGCCTCTTTGTCAGATGCAGTCTCGTTTGCAGCTCTGAAAATGATTTAGACATCAATGAAACACAAAATCGAAATCGGTGTATGTATTAATCCGTGACGTATAACAATGTCACTTTTACATTTTGTTCTTTACCTCTGACATTCTCATCGCTGGTCTCTTTAAGGTCAGATATCTCGTCTTCCAGTGGTTTGATTTTCTTGTGAAGTTCCATAATCTGAGCCGCTAAAAAAAAGGGACAAAGCGAGCTACTTACAGTGTTCTGATGCCATATGATGATTCTGTACAGATTTTTTTTTCTCTTCCCAAAAGTGACCAGAACACCTACACAAATTAGCGATCCTTGTATCACTTGAGTCCAGCTCCGATGTCTCTTCTTTTATCTGATTTCTGACGTGCTCCAGTTCATCCTCCAGATCTTCGAGAAAGACAGAACAGATGTTTAATTTCCTCAAAATGTATGAAAAGAGTATTCTGAATGTATCTGTAAATTGTACATGCTGCTTCCCACCTTTAATTCTCTCCAGTGCTGCTTGTGTCTGACTCTTTTCCTGCTTCTCCAATCTCGCTATTTCATCTCGTTGAGCCAAGATTTTAAACACTGAAACGTTTAAAAGGAAGAAACGTTGGATTGGATAAATTCAGCGGAAACACCACCACGATCAGCGACAATGGAACAATAAAGTTTTACTGTCATTTTGAGGATGACTCACTCAGTTTAGTATTTTCATTGTTCTCGTTTTGAATTCCGTCAATTAAATAATTCAAATGGTCTTGGAGAGCTGCAAACCAGAGACATTATTTCATGTCAGCATGTGTTCTGCTTTGACTGGTTATGAAATGTCCGTCTTTAGAGCGGAGGTACGTTACTGTCACTCACCTCTAATCTTATCGTAATTTGTCTCGTTTGCTGCTACATTCACCAACTTGTCAATATCTGTTTGTATTGCAATGATCTGTAGAACTGGAAAAAAGCATTACACATTGATAATCACACTCTAGCACGTATCCCTCTTAATTATAACTATATAGTATAATATAGTAGTTATTAAAATGGGTTGTTACTCACGTCTTTGTGGTTGAGCACTTCTTGCTTTCAGCTCTGCTGTTTTTTTGGTCAGTTCATTGTTTTTCTCATCTATCATTTTTTGAAGTTCTGCAGAACAAAAAATAAAACTATTTTGAACTTGTATATCCTTTATATTAAATATCAGAAACATAAATATACTTTATATCAAGCAAGGATGGAATATATGGGCAATATCAAACTGTAGAGTGAGAATGAAGCACACACTCTGTTCATTCCTCTTGGTTTCAGACTCAGTGTTTCGTAGTCTCCTCTGTAGCTCCTCCAGCTGCAGCGTTAATGTAGAAACCTGAAGAGCTGAACAGACCACATTAGAAAACAGTGAGACTAAAGAAAAGTACTCAAATTGTTTTTTCCTTATCCATAAAAGCTGCAGACCACTACACAATTGTATTCATTTTCTCAACTAATGGATTCACTGTTTGGTAACACAGCTCCACCGCTCACCAAGTGATGTAACAGACCCAGAGTCGGACTGCAGTTCCTTCATTTTGACGTCCAGGTCGTTCTGCAGATCTACAACACATTTGCACACGTTTGTAACAACTATTGACCCCACAGAGAGAATGAGATAAAGCATGAATGTCTTAAATAGGGCTGTCTGAGGACTGTGAACAACATATTTCTCAGATCAAGTTTCCTTGTTAATTCAAAAGTGGAAGTTTTGACATGCAGGCGACATCTGCCAGGGCTGCAGCCTCTCCCCCTTATTGTTTGCTTCACCTTTTGACACACTTGTGCAGGCTATCTGGCAATCACATGACCATGAGCCAATCACTGGCCGTACGCACCCTGTTTCATATCCCCTTATGCAGATGATACCGTCATACACGGAAAAACAAAAACTCACAATTGATACCCAGATGTTAAACTATCTGACAGTTTTCAGGGGATAAATAATTTCCCCAATAGTGATGAAATATGAATTGAAACAACAAAAACATTATAAAAATGACTTCTATTCTTCTTTCAGGTTTCGAGTATTTTACAAATGATTACTATTATGGATGGATTACTGAATGGGCCTACCGGGCACAGGCCTGGGGGCCCAAAGTGTCAGGGGCTCTGCTGGCCTTCACCAACAAAATGTCACTTAGAGACATGTACCAACAAGGCATAGACTCAAAATGGCCACAAAGAAACATAAAAAAGCTACAAAGAGACACAAAAAGGCTACAAAGAGATGCAAAACAGCTACAACGAGAACACAAAGAGACTCACAATGACTATGAAAAGGGGCAAAACAGCAACAAAGAGACACAAAATTACGACAAAAAGGGGCCAAACAACCACAGACAAAAATAACTACAAAAAGACAAAAACAATGACCACAAAGAGACACAAAACCACAGAGAGATGCTTCACGACTACAAAGAGATACAGAATCACAAGAACAAGAGGTTAAAAACATATTAAGTTTGTGTGTCTTGCATATGTAGGAGAGCTGGTGGGGTCTTTTAAATATCTGTGCCCAAGGACCCATTGTCTCATAATCTGCCCAAGTTTACTACATCCACCTATTGAAGTTCAAAGATTCCTTCAGCTCCCCCTGTATTCATCTTTGGATATTTTTTCTCTCCATTTTTATTGCACAGTAAAAAGGATTAACTACCATTTAAGGTTAACTCAACTTTCCTGAGAAATAAGTCTTCTGGAGGGGTTGATTTGCAAGATTTTGAATGATATTCTCAGTGTTCTCCCCTTCATCCTTTAACTGGATTCAGCTCTAAAGTTGCTTGGTGTGTTATCGACTTCTATGTATGGTACCAAATCAAATAATTTGCTCAAATTGACAGAAAACATTGTGAACACTCTCCTATTTTGATTAAAAAATACTTTAAAAAAACAACAACATTAAACCCATTCATTTCCCACATTGGAGTCAAAAGGGTGTGACGTTATCGGCCAGCAGGGACAGAGAGTAACAAGTCAGGAGAGACTTCACTCACCATTAAGTGTGTGGTCAAAACTGGAACACTGCGCCTTTGTCTGGTTCAGTTTGTTCTGCAGAGCTAGTAGAAAAAAAGAAAACTCTCATATTCAACTTAAACTTCTTCTTTCTCTCTTGTCGCAGAAAGCTACTCGTGCTGGCACTGAACTCACCGTTGATCTCAGCTTGATCACGAGAGTGCTCCTCAACCTTTGCCGTCAGTTGTTCTCTCAGCTCTAGAAAAAGTAAGGTACGCATCAGCTGCTGCAAATGCATGAACTCAATGATGTCAAAGGGAAGTGAGACACTCACTAGTAACTGCAGCAGAGGTTGTTTGGCCCTCATCGGGCCTTTCTTTTTCTAGCTTTCTGAGCTGGTTTTGCAGATCAGTGATTGTCAGAACTGAGAAAGAAGACATGAAACATTTCAGACTATTTCCTCAGTTATGACTTTGAGGCACCATGTTCCCTCTTTACTCACTCAATTGGGCGTTTGCCGGATTCTTCTCATTCAGATCGTTGACGTATTTCTGCAGCTCGTCCTTCTTGGTTGTGAGCTCATTTGTGAGCTCTGGTACAAAATGAAAGCAGTTAAACACATGAACACAATAATAACAATATTACTGACAACCTTAGCAGCAGGTCATGATTTGCGGGCTTGGGGAATTGTAGAGGATCATTAGAGATACTTACGGGTTACCTGGGTGGTTTGTAACAGCTGTCTCTGCAGCCGCTCTACCTGACTCTGCAGCGTCATGATTTTCAGCACTGAACAGAGAGGCCAGAAAGTGTAATTTAATGCAAGAGATACTGTAATAGGATCCCCAACATACTGCGCAGGAAAGTAACAGATCATCCCTCATCAGAGGAGTGATGAAAGAAAGCTTTCTGCTCACAGGTATTTCAAACTCACTCCGTTTTGTGTTGTCGACTTCTTTGTCCTCTATTTCACTGATAAGGCCATCCACTCTGCTTTGCAACTCTAGGAGGAAGTAAAAAGCCTTCAATATATTTTACGTTTTGTCACTGATTCCTGAAATAATTTCACTCTGTATTGTTTTAAATAGGACAAACCTTCTACATGGCCACCAGTGGTCTCGTTTTTCTCAAGGTCCCATAACTCATTCTGCAGCTTGATGATCAGTAAAACTGAAACAAAAGAACACGCAGTGAGGCTCAGAGATCTATCGTACCAGTCCTCAGCTTATACTCAAGACATCCGTGGATTTGGGGAGTCGAGGAAAGAGCAAAAGGCTGCCGCACACTAAATGGCACAAATATAACCAAAATGATCTCAGGTTGAGTTTAGTTATTCTGGATACATTCCCATGTTTCCCATAATAAAGTAAAACATTCATTCTTTGTGTGTTTTAAATGACGGAAATCTTGTATTGAGAGTAATAATTGTCTTATAAAGGTTTTGAATAATTTAAGCCTACTATGGTTTTTTTTTCAGAAGATGTTTACTTTTTATAAAGATGAAGTGCTTCATTACTGGAACTAATCCCAAAGGAAGCTGCAGTGTGACAGCAGCCAGGTGGCACAAATAACAACACACACACACACACACACACACACACACACACACACACACACACACACACACACACACACACACACACACACACACACTCTGTCTGCAACACGATGGTGATTCTGCAACATTTGGTTAATTTTTCATTTTTTTGTGAAAAAGTAATTAGAAGAAGAAAACAAAAAGATATGGAAAAAACAAGGAAAATTCATAAAGTTTGTGAATTCATCCCACAATTGGATAATTATGTGAGACAATTCGTCAGCATTTGAAAATATTTTTGATATTCCTCGTTTTGTAAATGTTTTCTTGAGCAGTCTTTGTTTTCTGTGCATTTCTATTATGTCATAACACAACACCACCCAACAAACTTCCACTTGTTAAGAATGATCAAAAATAAAGTTTCAAATCACAAAAACAATGTATGGCATATATATAATCCCTGTTTACAGGACATCAAGTTCAGGGGGACATGCTGTCTTTATTTCTGTGGTGCTCACTATGTTGACAACAGGTATTAACTTATACACCCATAGAGATGATTTGTACATAAACTCACATATTTTGGGGTTGGGGATCCGCCTCTCTATCTGGGAGTTCAGCTCGTGTTGCTTCTTCTCCAGTTGCCTCTGCAGCCCTGTGAGCAGACAATGTGATGTGAGGCTGAAATATTTAATCCAAACATCATCTGCTCTTCTAAATAACTGTGCTTTTCATTTTAAAAACTAACTAGTTACATTTGGTTAAAACAAATGACGGATACACATTCGCAGTGTGAGACCTGAGATCTTGTCTGGATCTTCTGCGGTGGAGATCAGGTCCGTCAGAGTCTTCAGGTCCTCGTGCAGGTTCATCACGTTCAGAACTGACTCAGAGAAACAGAGCAGACATCACCACACAGTTCATGCGTCTGAAACAAACTGAGCCGGATACAGCTCTCATGTAAAAGGGCTCTCTGCCATGTGTGAACATGCGGTGTCACTTCACTCACTGAGTGCTGCTTTGGAGTCTCCGGTTCTGTTCAGCTCTGCGATCTTCTGTTCCAATTCAGTCTTTACCTCTGAAAGAAACACAAACAGACACTGAAACATGAACCACCGCAGCCTTTAGCTGAAGTCATATTGACAACTTACCCTGATATCTTTCCTCAAGTCCAGGGCATTCTTCACTCTTTAGTCGCAGTTTCCTCTGAAGCTCTGTGTTACAGAAGATGTCAGATCATCGAATCGCTCAACTGAAATTGTGCTTTTGAAGTATTAAAAGCAGTTTTAAATGGACTCACCGTTTATTTCAGCCTGAGCTTTGGCCAATCCCTTTTCTTTGGCCTGAAGCAGAGTCTGAAGAGCTGATTGAAAAACAATGAAACATAGGAGATTAGAGTCTAAGTGAGTGTGAGCCATCCTATTTTTGTCAGTTCTCAGCTGCTGCTTCAGCCCGACTTTAACAGCGGGAGTAGTAGAGGAGGACTCACTGGTGGTTTGACTTGTTGAGGATGTCTGGTGTTGCTCATCACCATCCAGCTCTCTCACCTCTTTCATGATGCTGATGATTTTTATGACTGGTCAGAGAAAAGGAAATGTTTAGGTGTTGTTTAGGAGGTGACATATCCATGCTGTATACGGATGTTTCTTTAACACAACCTTTACAATAGAAGGATTTCAGAAAACACACTTTAAAAGCATCAGCCTATCTCTTTTGCATACTCATACTCACTCAGTTGTGCCTGGGAATACTCTGCTTCCTCCAGCTGTTTCTGTAAGTTTTCTTCTTTTTTCTTCTCCGCCCCCAAAATAATTCTTAGCTCTAGGATGAAAAACAAAAAATACTTTTACGCCTTTCTGACTGAGCTGTTGTTTCCAGTTTGTCATTTCATTAGACGAGCATAACTGTGTGACTTTCAACCTTTAAATTGAAGTAAGCTGCAGGGTTTATTCACCTTTTAGTTTAGAGTCAGTTGTCTTTTTGGCGTTCATCATTAACTCTCTAAAATGCTCCAACTCAGACTGCAAGACCAAAATTTGCTTGGCTGGAGAAAAGAGATAAAGGACGTCAAATGAATGCTGTTTTAAACACAACAAAAAGGAGCATTTGACTGAGTTGCACACGCACTGAGTTCTTTGTTACGGTCGTCACGATTCAACTGTAAAATCTTCCCTTTGAGGAGCTCAACTTTTTGCCTCCACTGTCTCTGGTAATCTGGAAAAGAAAGAAAAATAAGTTCTTCACACAAAAAGATGAGGCATTATCAACACACACGGTACCGGGACTCACCGGCAGCGTTAGTTCTGGATTCCTCAATGTGGACATTGATGAGCCTCTGCATGGCTGCAATCTTACTGTTGACAGAAATCAGCTCCAGCACTGGAGGACCAGCGTGTGCATCAGTCAGTCACATCTTTAACATGGCTAATTATGAAAAAAACAAGGTGTGCAAGAAGTGGAGAGATGTGCTGACCGGCTGAGTGTGCATCTCCTTTGCCTCGCAGCTCACTGATCTTCCTGTCCAGCTGTTCTTGAAGAGCTGATGTAGTGAGAGTGATGAAGCAGAGAATAAATCATCAACACAGACACGACACGCTGCACGGTGGATTCCTGCAAAACAAAGCTGCTGAACAGAAAAAAGACATCAAGCTGCATGATGGAAAAGTGAAATGATATGAGGACTATGGTATAATGTTTTGTCTCATATGTACTGCCATTTTGAATAACTTAATGCAAATGTTTCGGTCAGTTTACGCAGAATTGTCTTGTTGGGCTGAAGATCTCCTCTTCTTAATTCTGCCTGATCCAAATCCCAGATCTGATTTTGCAGTGAGATGATCTGAAGAACTGAACGCGCGCACGCACACACACACACACACACACACACACACACACACACACACACACAC